CCTAAACTAACAGCCAGCGACCACCGGTGATCAAGATGTTTTGGTTTTATTTTTTTTTTTGAGGAGCTGTTATGTCGCTGCACGCGCACCCTGCAGCTGCAGCCGGGATACTTTTATTCCTGGAATAAATCCTACTGCTAACGCCACTGGCAACAAAAACCGAACATTTCCTACAGCTGCAGCTTCACAGCACAGTAAAGGTATTCAACTGGGGAACCACAAGTTGAGTTTTATTTTGAAGCAAGCTAGTCACAGAAAGTGCAATGTGTTTATCAGTTAGCTAGACGCTGGCGGCAAACGTTTAAAATAAATTGGTCGTTTTTTTTTTATTTATTGACATCGGATCAGTTGTAAATATGTCAGGGAGCAATGGAACAAGAAGAAACAGCCACTGGTCCAATGTATAGGATTTACTGGCATCTAGCGGTTCAGTTGCAGATCGCAACTCCCTCCTTTCACCATCCTCATTTACTACTATAGAGACCGAAGGCGTATTTTTTAAAACCAGCCTGTAAACATGTTAATTTCTGCTGTAAAGTTGGGGCATTTTAATATGGGGCCTTATGGATATTGACTTACTTTGGTAGAGGCCGTTCGAGCAACTGCAGTTTTTGTTACTTTTTTTGGTTTTATGGTTACCACCACCTCTCTGAAGACCCAAATAATTGAACTGTAACTTCAATCCCTTTATGAATTTGCCCTCTGTCTATGTTTCCAGCGTGGATATGGAGAGTCTGACAACAGCTGCCAGTGGTTGGCTCTGACTACTAGCTTGCTTTTTCTGTGGTGGTCAGTTGGTCACTCACTCTGTGTCGAGGCCACGCCTCCTACAATGTCTGTCTTGCTCTGGTCTCTTTTTTTGATTTACTGAGAGGACGGGAGCTAGCAGAATTTGGTAGTACAGTTACACTGTAATAAACATATTTCCACTCACATATGCAGACTATTAAAGTGATGGCCTTTTGTAATTCACAACTAGGTGTCTGTTACATAAATGTTACTTCTGGCTTTATTCAGAGAGGATATTTTCCAAGCCAACACTTACACAATATCTAGTATCTGGTACACTATAGTGAGTTGTAAATAAATGATAGGAAAGAAGAGTGTTTCTGATATTTCACAGGCAGCATCAGTGATAGATTTTAAATCTTGTGTTGTTGAAGTCTTTATTAATGACGTCTTCTCTTCTCACAGTGAATACATTATTATGCCATTACATTATGAAATACACATTTCATAATTTATTAGACAGAGAAATCTGCTCCCTAGATTGAGAGCACACATGCATTGAATGACAAGATGCTCAGTGGGACTCAAATGTCGTATGTATAACATTACATTGGATATTAATTTATAAATCGATGCAGTTTGCATTAGTCGAAACTAACAATATTTGGAGGAAGAAAGCTGGTCAGATTAATGTTGTGGTTGTACAAGGAAGGACGTTTTTTTCTCTTCGATTTCCTCACACTGCATAAGGAAATATAATAATTTTGATCTGACTTAAGTGGCTCATTTACAATGTTTTGTGGTTTAAGAAACAGATTTTGTTTCCTTTTTGCAAAAAGAAGATGATAATTAAGTAATACTTAATAATTGAGTGCTCTTGGTAAGGCGAAATAGAGGATGTGCGTTTCATTTCTTTCTGTGCATGTTGTACCTTGTGCTGCTGTGGCCTTCACGTTAATCTAATGGCAATTAACACACGTCTCAGACATTTTACTAGATCAAACCAAGTAAGATTTCCGCCATTTCTTGGGCACTCAGACATGTGAGCTACACGTTAAATTGCCATCTAATTTACATAACGAGATGCACGTCTGAAAGGGGCTTAATGGTGTAACATAGGGCAATATTGCACAGTGGACATTGCCTTAGCACAACTCAGGCAGTAGGCTCCCACGACTAAATGAATGGAGCAGACACACTTAAACATAATGCACAAGGCAATGGGAGTGGGAGGATACATAGGTGTACGTGCAAACCTGAACATGAGATGTCTACTCCTGTCCCAACCTTTCTCTAAAACTTTAAACGCTTATGGGTAAAACAATTTTTTTGAGGTTTACTGTTTATTATATTGTTAATTAATCCTAATATTATTAGAATTGTCAATGTGTTGCAAGTAGCCTATACACATCATAAGCACTAGTGAAATCTATCAAAACTAAGGATAAAATTAGTGTAGGCTAATAAGACCCTCTTAAAAAAGACAAATATGTAGGCCTGACTAACTATTATGGCCTATGTGAAATGCAAAATACAAATTTAATACAAGCCGTTCTTATTAACTATGTGGCAGGATATAAATGGTGAATACCCATCACAGGGTATTTTGAGACTTAACAAAGATCATATTTCTTATCACTCTCATTTTCAGCCTGAAGCAAAGAAACCGGCTGTGACTGGCTGAAACCGGTTCTTATGGAGTAGGTATGGTTTGAAATACTTAAGTATGGATTTTTCCATCAAAATTAAAAATACAGGATTGGAACCTGCTGTCACTCCTGAAGATAAAAAAATGACATTAAATGAGGCAGAAATTACATTATGATCAGATGAGAAACACACACACACCCAGTTTTTTGTTTTTTTTACATTACAGACAAACTAATCAATTCAGTTTCTAAATTTAGCTCCAATTTATATGGTCAAAAAAACAATGGTTGGGTTGACATTTTAATTAACATTTACATGCTGATTGAAGCATTTCTTATATTTGTTATGACACGTGTATTCACACTATGATGGGATTTGTTTTATCATCATCCCGAAGGAGCACTTATAAGTGTTTAAATTGTTTTTGTAATTGTAAAAGTTAGCATTACATAACATCTGGCCATATAATCATTTATCTTACCTCTACCAGCAATCTGATGGGACAGAGATGCAATTCAATTTCAGAACCAGATGCATCTTATAACTGATCATACAGGGACAAAAGACAAGGTAGGAAATGGACATTTGGTGGGTAATGGGACAACAGCTGCACAATACTGACTTACATTAGGTACCAAACCCGTATTAACCAGGTCTGAGAAAGGTGCCTCTGTCAGGCACATATACTCCTCTTTTTCTCCATATCAATGACTCACTATAACTCACTATATCATTATAAGCAGACAGAACCTCAAAAGTCCCTCCACTGTCATTAAGTATAAATTTGAATGTTAGCTCTCTCTCTTTGTTAGCTAGCTCTGAAAATTGGTATAGCAGTTTGTACGATCAATAGAGAATGCTGATTGATTAAACTGGATGAGGGGTAAACACATTTTGCGAAGCAACAACAATAACATGACTTCTAACATCTACAGGAAAGCTTTTGAAAAATGTAGGCGGAGCCTTTTTAGGCTGCTTCCTCTTCAGTAGGAAAAAGCAGACTGGGTAATGAATTACAAGTGCACCATGTGAGCACTGCCACTGGGTGAAGTGGGTGTGGGGAAACAAGAAGCTGTACCATGTTCCAGAAGCAAACCTCAAACACCTCACTTTGTATGGACTAAATTGAGTCCATTTAAAAAAACAAAAAACAAACAAACCACAAACACACATCATTAATATGATTGAACAGTCCAATTCTGCAGAATGCTAAATTCCCCAAACTGTGGCTGACCTATGGATCTCAGATTCATACAGCAATCACTCAGTTGGGTCACTTATCTGCACATCTTTTTTTTTTTTTTTATGTAGTTTTTTCTTTCATAAACTCACAGAGCATGTCAAAGGGAAAAAACTGCTAAACTCTTATTTGACATTAAGCCACACCCACATCAGGACAGTGTGGCGCATGGAAAATTACTGGGCTGTACCACTATAGACCAAGAGGGGGGGTTTAACTGCACAGTTCTGAGAATGCAGCAATTTACTCTTCACTTTAACCCATTTTTCTATTCTGTGTGTGTATAGGCCCAAATCTAATGTTGATTTCCAATTTGGGGATTCTCTAATAACCTTCATTAAATTATGTAAGTATTTAAATTAAGCCAAAAACTCTTCATTAAAGTGCAACCAGGGGTGATAATTAAAGTAAATTAAAGCAACCAAAGCAAATGTATTATCTTGCTATTACCTACATTACTTCACATCTAAGGGTGGACAATTTTACACCAGAATCTGTCTTCATTTTTGCCCCTCCCCCAAACTGTCACCTCTGCAGTATGCTGGATGTGCTTGCTGCTTGTTTTAGCACCGACACACCGTAGTCGTCTCACTGACTTGGTAGGGTTGGACCTTTGAGACTTAAGTGAGGTGCGAAGACACAAATGTATGTTTCCAGTTGCTAAATGGGGAAGTCAGTGTATTAAACAAAGAATCTGATTACTTCTATCAGACTATTGGCAACATGAGTGGTGTGAGGGCATGTTATAGTTGAATAAGACTTGGGTCACTTTTTCTACTTCTTTATATCCTTGTGTGTATTGGTGTACAGGCGTTCTTCAACCGAGTTACCACCACTTAGCAACAAGGATAGCGTCCCGCAGGAAGAGCATGTGCAAAAGAAACTTGGGTTTTTTTTAATCTAAAACAACAAAAAACACATTACTTGTGTAATAAAAAGTGTTCATAATGTAATAAAAATGATAAAATAATTCAAAATTCACAGCCATTAGCAGTTCAGTAATTTTATATAAGCAAATTACGCAATTGGGAAACCCGCGAAATTGCTTTCACAAAATAGGAAAGGTTGCAATTCCAGCTGCTCGTAAAAAAAAGTATTTTACAGTAAAAGTAAAAAGTAAAATATTATTGAAATCGGTCACTAATGTATTATCCATTGAGCTAGTATCTAAGCAACCGCTAGCTAACACTTCTAAGCCCGCTACAAACCCAATCGCTAGGGCTCACTGCAATATGTTATAAATAAAGATAAAACAGAAAAATATAACGTAATTTATAACCAAATGTATATAAGCACAAGTTCCAATAAACCACATCACCTCCTTGTGTAAAATACAAAAGGCAAAGTGAGAGCTGAACGGCTAGCAGGCTAGTTGCAATACCTCGACTCACCGAAACTTCGCGTTGCCGAGCGATGATGTTCCCGCGATTTTCAGCCTCGATCGGTAAGCAGACTTGTCTCCTCCTCCTTGTTCTTCTCCTTCAGCCGCTGTTCAACTCTTCCGCGCCTCTGTTGTGTGTTAACGACAACCGTTGCGGTCGGGATGTGCGGTATCAGTCCACCGGTGTCTTATCCGGTTGAGGGGAGGGGGGGAAACTAGTGAGCGGTGCCACAAACTGTGTACTTTGTGTATATACTCGGACACAAACCCGCTCTCCGCTCTCTCGCTCACAAATAGACTCCTCCTCTTTTTCAACAATTCCACCGTACGTCATCGGCCGGTAGCGGTTGGTCGGCAGGCTCGCGCTCCAACCGTCGCGTTCTGACCGCTAGTCTTCTTCTGTTTTGTTTTGGGTTTTTTTTTTCCGTTGGTTAGTTTCTCTCCTGGCGGCGGTGTTGAGGTCGGTAGCTAGAGCCGGCAAGGTAGGTATGAACAGCTCCAAATAGGATTGTATGAATGAGCTGACAGGACTAAAACACAAGCCGGTGTTACTACAGCAGCAGCAGCAGCAGCAGCTCCTCCGGTTGGGATAAACCAGAGCCAACGGTTTTTTTAAACCGTACTGCAGTAAAGGATGAGACTCAGAGCCGACGGTTGGAACTAGGGACAACAGGGAGCAGGGCATTAGCATGGGGAGGGAGGGGATTTCACTTCTGGGCTAAAGGGGGAGGGATCATTAATAGTGGAGGAGGAGTCTGGTGAAAATGTTTGAAAAACCTACATTAAATTAGTTATTATTAGTAGGTTATGCATCATAGGATTTGTGTGTTGTCCTGTGTGTGTTAAAGTGTAAACATGAGAATGATTTTAAGCTTAATTTAATGATCATGTTTAAAATGACACTCATGAGAGGGATTGACAGTCTAACCAAATTGGGAGAACACAGCTAATCTGAGCAGATCATTTCCTGTATATATATCATCTTAAAAAACTGTTTTTGCTTTATGATTTCAATGATTCACACAGAAGACTAAAGGAGAGGGAAAATCTTCTATAAAACCAAAATCCATCCCATCAGTGAACAACCACACGGTCTGTAGTTTTTAAGCAGTCTTCTGACATTATACAGCATTAGTCAGCCATTTTGTGTATGAAACCTGTGTGTAGTTCCCCGGTGGTCCAGCAGAGGGCGAGTTATTGTGAGGTCGCTTAAAAATGTTCCTGTGCTCATGTATAAACCACTTATCCTGCCGTAGTCTGGGTCATAACTCGTCCCTTTGCAGGGTTGTATCTTCACACCCCCAAATCTATGTGATCTGCAGAAGGAGTTTGGTAGCTGTGCTCTCCCTTGCCCTGTGCTTTTTTCTCTCTTTCTCTCATACACTCTCGCACACCAGAGAAGATCTGCAGTGCTAGTCCAGCAGAAAGAAGCCTTTGAGGTTAGGCAACTCTGTTTTTTTGTTAGTTTTTTTTGTTGTTATCTTCATGTGAGAACAAAAACCAACTAGGCTAGTGCCATCACGCTGACAGTTTTCAACATGATGGACCTCTTTTGTTTAGGGAACACTATGTGCAGATCACAGGCTCCATCTAACAGGAGTGAGATTATTACATGAAACAGCATGAAGATCAATAATACAGCTGCTTTAATACCCTGTGTGTGTTCACAAACATCAGTAAATGATGAAGAAACAAACACATCGCACTGGTTGAAGAGAATTCGCTCGTAGGTTTTTACACAAAAATGGAAGAAATCCTCATAAATAAATACAAAACATATATTTATTGTTTTTCAAAATGGGAAGTTTTAATTAGCATTTTTTCATGTTACATAAACACAATGCAGTCTGATTATAATTGTAAGTTAAGGTACCCTTGGAGCCGATGAGCTACGTAAGCTCCTCGTCTTTGTCTTTATTTGACAGTTCAGAATACAGACATGAAGAATGTGGACAGAACAAGAGGAAGAAGAAACCAAACATAAAAAGTTTCCATGCTGAACAGCCAGAAGACAGCCAACAAACAGACTGCCTTTAACCCCAGTTCAACATAATGAATCAGTCGAGATGACTCTATAAGAGCAGACACGTGCTAATGGAGCTACACTCACCAGAAGAACTCTATGGGCAATAGTCAACCACAGACACTGTGGCAGGGTCTTTGCACTCAGCAAGAAAATCTTCACAGAAAAAAAGTACAAATTTAAGAGAAAACAACCAAGATAGTTCTCTATCAAGACAGCTGAGGGCGCCATAGTTCATTATAACAAGTTTGACAGTAATCTGGACAATGACAAAGATGAGCTAATAGTAGAAGCTAAAAAAGTGCTTCTATGAATGTTGTCTGTGCTCAATGAAGGCCAGCACTATATATATAATATATATATATATATATATATATATACTGACAGTATATATAGTATAGATAAGGTGCTGGCCACTGACGGACAAAACAAATAAGTGTGTTGTTTGAAAGTAAAGGGCCGAATGGATATACAGGTAACCATGTGTAAATCCATTCTGCACCATTATCGCACCTCCCCATAATATTTATAATGGCCAGTAATCAGAAGCTAAAATAAGCTAATTTTCTCTCCTGAATACTCTTCAGTGTTAAACCGACGTCACTCACTGAAATCCCTACTGTCTCGTGTTGGTTTACATGTCAATCAGCAACAGTGAACACAACAGCAGTAGATCACTTACAGGTCTCTTACACAGGTAAAACAAAGCCTATTGAAATCACACTACCACTGATGCACACTTCATGTCATAAAACGTGACTGGATCTGTTTCTGAAATGGAGCGACGCCAGCGAGGCAGTCAATAGGGCTGCACGATATGAAAACAAGATCTGTAGATTTCTTCAGAATTACGGTACTTCCTTATAATGCAATGTTGTCACATATTTTACCTTTATATATAAAATAAAAAATCATTCCATGATTTACATATTGCACTTGACCAAATTCCGATTTAAATAATATTTAGATTAATTGTTCGGCCCTGCACTGCCATATACACAAACCTCACTATCCATAATCATCTACTAAACACACTCTGCCAATTTGAGGGCCTATTTAAGCTGTTCTTCGGTCTCTTCCTCAGAAATTTGCTCGTTTGCAGTATTTCAGTGTAACACATCTCTGGGGAGTGATAAGGTCGGAGCCTAGACGCCAAACTCTCTATGCTCTGCTGCTGCAGTAAACATTTCAAGCGTGAGTTGTCTGACTTAATTGTACTTAGATTTACTGTAGATTTCTTTTTTTTAGCTAAACTGCTGCCATAGCAATTTAGCTTCAAAAGAAGACATGTTGCCGTTAATTACCATGGATTTGAACAAATCAGTTGTATCAGAAAGAAATCATCATAGGTGCAACAACAAAGAAATGATAAATTCCCATTCCTATAAAGCTTTAGCTATATATTTGTACAAAAACCAAATAAAGTAAAGAACAGTATTCTAAATAACAGAGAATGACTGCAGCTAGAGGAAATCCACGATTATCAAAGTGTAACATTTTAACTTGGTAAATATAGTCACTGTTAGTGAGTTGATGCTCTATGTATGAAGAATAACTAAAGGAACTCAGCTGAATTGGGAATATTAAAACATTCTCAGATGTCCTTGGTCTAGTGACATCTAGAGGCAGTGGTGAACATTTAATGCTGTTTCCTGTATGTGTGACAACTGACCTTGAGGACAACGACCTTGTATGTTTACAGATTGTTGCAAGTCGATTTCCTGAATGCTTCTCAAAACTGGGCTCTTTGGTGGAGACGTATATGTATTATTAGTTTTTTTTATGTTAAGGTGATATTTGAACACTTTTGCAGAGCTACATTGTTCTTGCACTGAAAAACAGTGCTTCTCCTCCAAGACACACCTAGGTTTACCATTCAGTGTCCACAGTATCTTCTGTGAAACAATCATTCAGTTAGAACACAGTGTCATCAAGATGGTTTTGTTTTTCTTATATCATTATAATTACTGTCTTATGGATCATAAACATGCTCAGCTACTTTCATAGTTTTTATGTTAGTTTGCATGTGAAGTTAAAATTTTAGCCTCAGGATGTCTCTCTGTAAACACTTATCTCATGTACAGGACATGCCAGAACAACGTGTTCACATTTCACAAGATAAGATAAAATAAACGTCATTGATCCCACACCGAGGAAGTGGGATCAATGACGTTCACTTTACAGCAGCTCAAGAGTCAAAAGAAGAGAGAAGTATGGAGCCCCGGTGTGGCCACAGAGAGAGGAAAATATGTATCGAGGCCATGATTTACTACGAGTGCTCTAAATACTTCTGTCTGCACAAGACACAATGTGTTCCCATGCTTTGAAAGAAAGTTGTGCTTCATGGCAAGTATTCACATAAAACAATATGATTATGATCTGTGTTAGCCGCAGTTAAATAACTTACTCCACTTCCAATAATTCATGATTTGTTCATTTCAATTCAGTTTTATTTGTATAGCGCCAATTCATAACAGAAGTTATCTCAGGACACTTTAATAATAGAGCAGGTCTAGACCGAACTCCTTATAACATTTACAGAGACCCAACAGTTCCACCATGAGCAAGCACTTGGCGACAGGGGCAAGGAAAAACTGCCCGTTAAGAGGCAGAAACCTAGGACAGACCCTTCGGCTCTAGGTGGGTGGTCTGTGGGTTGTTTTGTGGGATTTTGATCGAATCATGCAGCAAAAAACAATGGCGGCTCCCATAGAGGTTAGCGTAGATGCTGCTAGCATCTTTCATTGAGAGAAGAGCAAAGAACGACACTGAAGGTTTTTCTCGATGGGAAATACGTTTCCACTCTTCTCCCTACTGACTTCAGTAAGACTTTGACTATGTTATATGGTTTGTTGATCTGATTGGTTGACGTTTGCCCGTGATGGCAGTGATAGATGGTCCATACAATCACCTGCAGAGTATTTATTTGAAAGCACCAGCCGTTTTCCAAACTGTTTCCTACGACTACTTCCCAGATGGTTCTGTGTAACCAACTATCTGGCGCTGTCAGGTTAAATTAGTTGCCAAGTGCACCCCACTGTATTATTAACAAAAGTCATCCAAGGTTGATTTCCTAAAGATCACCACTGGGCCCAAATGACAGAGAGCACAGGCAGCCGGCAGGCAGCCGACTTCAGTGATTTAATATAAGTTCAGCTTACAAGCATGAGCAGGTTCAGGTAGACAGGCAGGATAGATAGGTAGGTCAACAGGTACAGCTCCAGGCAAAGCAAAAGTAAAGTTGAAGTTAAACAAGACACAAGAAGAAGGAAAATAAAACAGGAAGTAAACCCAAAACCATGACAGTTGACCACACAGGCTATAAACACGCAGTTGGCCCACCACACATAATGAGGCAGGCACACATAACGGTCTGTTCAAAAACCTCAGTCTGTTTTCTGACTACTTGCCAGATGATCATAGCTGATATGATCATATAGTGTCACTGGAGGTGTCAGTGGCCCATGCTATATTTGAAGTTCGATGTATACAGGATGAACAGTAAAGGAGAGAGAGCACCATACCCTCTGGGGCCCCCATGCTGCAAACTACCACATCAGACACATCAATGAAGCCTCACATACTGTGGTCTGTTGGTGAGGCAGTCGATGGTGCATGAAGCAGTCTACTGCCACTCCTTCAAGCTTCCCCCTGAGCAGTGATGGCTGTATTGTATTGAAGGCACTAGAAAATTAAAAGAAAACATGACCCTTGCAGTGCTCCCAGTAATCTCAAGATGTGAGAGTTGATAAGCAAATGACATCTTTGAGCTCAACAGGGGTCAGAGGTAGTTGAGTATGATCCTTTCTGTGGTCTCTATCAGGTGAAAAGGCTGCTGGTCTAAAGTAGACAGTCTTTGGTACTGGAACCACACAGGACGTTTTCCACAGGTATGAAACTCCCTCCAGACTAAAATTGTGAGCGCTGTATGGAAGAACCAAACTAAAAAAAACACTTGTGAAGGATCATGTGACACATGACATTTGATGCTGCTAGCACCAGAGCACAGTACAGCAAGAGGTGCACACTGAATATCAATCCTACTATAACCCACTCCTGGTCCTGGTTAAAACATGAAAAATATGCAGTGCTATGGCCCCTAAAACTACTGATATAAAATAATAAATAATAACATACGGTATAGTGTCATTTTGCTCGATTCCTGAATGTTTCCAGCTGTAGTTTATCAGGCCAATTAAATGAGACGTTCAAGTGTTTTTTAACCTTTTAAGTTTATCCTTGAGGACTTTGAGCTCAACAACACCACAAAAACAGATTAATCTGAGGAAATAAAGGTGTTTGGAGAAATGCTGCATACTGGGAAACAGGACAGTGTTATATCCTGTGCATAAACAGTTTCATATATATATTTCTTGCAGTAAAGAAAGAGGGCACAATGACTGTTGAGTTTGTATTATGTTAGCAAATACATTATGACCACTGACAGGTGAAGTGAATAACACTGATTATCTTGTTATCATGGCACTTGTCAGTGGGTGGGATATATTAGGCAGCAAGTGAACATTTTGTCCTCAAAGTTGATGTGTTAGAAGCAGGAACAATGGGCAGCGAGAGGATTTGAGTGACTTTGACAAGAGCCAAACTGTGATGGCTAGATGACTGTGTTAGAGCATCTCCAGAACTGCAGCTCTTGTGTGGTGTTCCCGGTCTGCAGTGGTCAGTACCTATCAAAAGTGCTCCAAGGAAGGAAAAGCGGTGAACCGAAGACAGGGTCATGTGTGGCCAAGGCTCATTGATGCACTTGGGGAGCAAAGGCTGGCCCATGTGGTCCGAATCCAACAGACGAGCTACTGTAGCTCAAACTGCTGAAAAAGTTAATGCTGGTTCTGACAGAAAGGTGTCAGAACACATAATAGCATAACATTCTGGCTGATCGCTGTATTATGTAGTAATATATGTAGCATATTGCAGTGACAGTGAGTGTAACCATCCTTAAAGGTCATAGCCTGTTAATCATGACCCTTAAAAAGCAATTAATAAAGTGTCTAATGATCTGTCACAGGGGAATCATGTATTTGGAGACAAATGTATAGGACCCAAAATGGAGCCTTGTGGAACACCACAAGACAAAGGCAGTTGCTGTCACAAAGTTAACAAGATAAAAATCCAATCAGACAGACGCAAAACCAACTGGAGAGCCTTCCTAAAATACTCCCCCACTGCCCATGCTTCTTGGTCTGAATGTAGTGATGAACTGTGTTTGATAACTGTACTAAGGTCAAGGAGTAGTCATCTGCTTTGCCTGCAAAACTATGAATCATCATTGCACTACAGAGGGCTGTTTCAACAGAGAGCATTGAATTAAAACCAGAATAGGAACTTAACAAGGATATTTCTTGCATTCAGATAGCTGTGAGCTAAACCCAAGTGGTCAAGAACCCATCTATATTCATCTGTAAGAATAAGCTTCCTCGAGCAGACCTTTTATTGACCGGTATTCCCACTGAGCTCTACAGTCTGCCTTGCAGGTAGTGAGCCTGAGGATGCATATTCCTTCACACCAGTGAGTAACCCTGCTGTTTGTGAAGTGTTAACGCTCTCACAAGCTTCTCATGTGATTTTCTTACTCACCACATAAGCTTCATATTCACGATATACCATCATTCATGACACACCTGCAGGAACGTCCATATTTAAAATTGTGAGACCGTTGAAAAACTGAGAGCCAAATGTATCTAATTGAGTTTGCAGGCTCAATCTGCATGTATACACGGCCTGATTTACTGAGACAGCAGCTCATTACACTGTCAGCTCCTGGGGATATCCTCTAGGTGCACACTGTGAGTGAAGTAGAGCACAGCAGATACAGCTCAGTGGTGGGATGAGATCACTGCAGCTTGAAGTGATTTTACAGTTCATCAATGGTCAAATTAAAATTAAATTTTGATGAACACCAACTAATTAGTTTTAGCTTTAGTTGATTTCTTCCACTACAACCTTTGTGGCTCTTGACTCTGAGACCCCTAAGTGTCATGTAAGTTCCGAATTAGTTGTCCCATACTTTGACCACTGTTACTACTAAAATACTATTAAAAACAATAATAAAAATATAATGTAATCACGTTGAGACATTAATGAAAAAAGCTTCATAAAACATGGGAATGTGCTTTTATTAAATAAAGAATAAATTACAATAATAAGACATTAATGTATAAATAACTCAATAATACCACTGAAAATTATATCTCAATGTGTCACAGCAACTTTGAGAAAAGTAGTTATTAAGTAAATGTACACTGTTGAAGTTCAAAGGGATGAGTGATATGTGGATAGTGGGCCGTCGATTTAGTAACAGGAGTTAGGACAGCCGTGCTTTACCTCATGATATAGCAATTTAATGTACACGTCACACATTCAGAAATAGTTGGTAAGTTGATGTAAAGTTGCAGTGATGTGTGAACTGATTGGCTGTAAGCAAACAGGCAATATGGACACAAGCATGCACACATAAACACTGTTTCAAACACTGCTTGAAACCTTTGACTGCACTACAATCACAGACTACTATTATCAGTTTGTTGCAGACATCACATTTCATATCAAAAGTGCACGTTCATGGTTTTTATAAAATTATGATTCAAAACAAAAAGATTGATAGATTATTGAATTTGAATTCCTTGTAGTTTTGGCATATTTGTCCTCTACTGCAGACAGTACGTGGCAGAGCAGTATAAATGTTGAGATCCTGAAGGGAAGTTGGTAAACATGTTTACAACTTAATTAATAAACTGATTTGGAATAATTACACCAACACTGAGTGCGTACCATTAGGCTAATATTATTAAAGCTTGTAAACCTGATCTGGATCTGATCTGATATATTAGTTATTACTGACAGCCGTAGAGGACCCAAACTCTGTAAACCTCATCAGAAGAAAAACTTTGACTGTGTAAAAATTTGCATAAAAATCTCAGCAGTCTGCGGAAGACACAAAGCTGGTCTAAGTGCCCGTTTCTGCTCTGTTCAATCACTGCTCATATGTGGCAGAGTGCTGCCACCAAGTGGTGAACAGGATGAATTTAATTTTAAAATGACATTACCACAAATACTGGTCACCACATCAGAGTGGTGGTGACAGAAACTTTGCATGGCACAAGACATCAAACAAAACTGTTCACCAGTGCAACAGTTGTATTTCTTTTGGGTCAGAAAAATACTGTTTTCATGAATGGTCAGTGGCTATGGTGAGGAGAAAAATGCATCAAATCAACCATGCTGAACAAATAAAAAAAAAAACCCATTTCAGTTGAGTAAGCTTGTATATAAAATTATACTTTTTATGGCATTATTGGCATAGCTGCTCTTTCATTTCTATAAAGTAATGCAGTACTGGTTAAATTACATGCTTTTGGCTTTCACATTGAAATTGGGTGCATGTTGTCCATTTAGATGTCAAAATAGGTCACAAAATCAATCAGAATCTGAATATATAATGTTTAATAAAACCACTTATCTGTTTTATGCAATGAATCAGAATCTGCAGTTTGAACCTTGTGGACTAATTACACACTGCTGCCCGGAGAATTACTTTTCATAATATGTGACTGATGTTGCAGCTTTTTCTCATCTTAGTATGCAGGTGTGAGCACACTAAACTACTTTAAAATGGAAAATCAAACATAAACAGGGCGAGGGAACAGAAATGTGTTCTGTTGTTGAGGGTGGGTGTAAAAGAAGACAGCACAGCTTGTAATGTTTGTTAAGCCCTCCTGACAGTTAAACCACAGGGATTCTTTCTCCGAACGAACAGTCGCTGCTGAGAATTTTAAAAAAGCAATTTGTACAGAGTCAACTGCAGAGCTGGCTAGCTCATCACTACTACACAGGAATTATGATTTTAAAATGTAGAGCAAATCATATAATGTGTCTGAATTCAGGCATCAGTTGCTACACTACACTAAAACCTCTTATACACATAATAATGTGGCACTTTCTAAGCTTGTACTACCCGGACGATGATCAATGAGAAGGCGTTGGCAGTAGATAAAATGTTAATTTTATAATGGCACTAAGTCTCTGGGTGGGACTGTCCTGTCATTCAAATATTCATAGGAATGACTTTGAAATAAAACAAGAGGGGTTCTGATATGTGTTTTTGGGGATGGTGTGGGGACGTAAGTGAAGAGGACAATGGGTGAAGTTTGAAGTCAGAAAAAACTACACTGATTTTTTTACAGATTTAAGGGATTTCCAAGCATGCAGCGTGGTGCCGTGCTGCGGTGACAATGATTATAGTTTCATCTGCATCAGCATCATTGCACTGTTTCCTGTTCTTACTTTGTCAGAACTACACCCCCTGACTGACTACAGGTTGCTTTCTTGGGTGTCATTAGTGGATATGGGGTGCAGACCTCCATTCTCATTCAGTCTCTTGGCACGATAGGTTTCATAGTGAATGTTGTGAGTGACCTCCTTCAGATCCTGAAGGTGAGACCTGAGAAACAGAAATAAAGAAACAAGGAGGAGACGTGTTACGAGTTATTTATGTATCTATTTGAAACAGGGAGTATCACAGTTATTGTGTTTTTTTTAGGGATCCTTATGTTTTGGTTTAATAAATAATAAATGCAAAAGCATTACTGGACGCTGGAAGCGAATTGAACCAATGGGATTTACCACGTAAAGTAAAATGTTTTAATTATACTGTTACAAGCAAAGAATTATACATGCTTATTTACTAAATGCATATAAACCTCATTTTTACATTATGTGTCAGTAAGAAAAAAAAAGTTCTTTGGAGAATAAGTGGATTATGAAATCGATCTTCATTTTAAATAACTATTTAGGGGGGCATTTTGCCTTTATTTTGATAGGAAAGTTCAAGGTGGACAGAAAAGGGGGAGAGAGGGGAGGGGGAGACACGCAGGAAAGGGCCACAGCTTGGATCCAAATCCGGACCGCTGTGTTAAGGATTCAACCTTGGTACACTGGGCACCAGCTCCACCATGCTATAAGGGCGCCCATCAAATTGATTAGTTGATCAGAAAATGAATCAGCAACTATTTTGGTAATCATTTTAATTAATCGTTTGAGTCATTTCATTAAAAAAACTAAACAAAACGATTTCTAATTGGTCCTTAACACCTGTTTATTGTAGGGCTGAACAATTAATTGAAATATTATCAAAATTGCGACAAATGTGTCCAATGTGACAATACAGCATTATAATGAAATACTGTAGTGCTGTAGAGTTGCACTGGCTACAAACCTTACAATGCATTGTGTTGGGATTTTAATAATCTATTTAAAAGACAGTTTTACCTGATCAGGAAATCTCTCAGCAGAGCAAACTCACAATGGTTGGGATTTTCAACTGCAAAAAAATAGAACAAAATGAAATGTTATATCTTATATACAAAGTCCTTTACCGTCCATCAATATTATTGCTGTGGTAAAGGACTGTAAATGTAACTTATTAAGAAAAGGCCATATCACCCACCTTCTACAATTCCCCACGCTGTCTTCCTCCCCAGAACTCGTTTCCCATTCACTTGATACTCTTTGTCGCTGCCCACCACAGCAAAGGGCATTGCCTCCTATGGACAGAGACATTTCAACACGGTTCAGTGTGCCGAAGAGAGTTGCACTAGGTTTATGAGATGAAACAAATACACAACATGCCCCAGTGCCCTGACATTCTGTTTGGAGGAAGCAGTGCGTGAGTGTGAGAGAGATTGAATTCAGCTGGGTGGAGAGAGGAGGGGTGGGGAAAGAAGAAACTCCCAAGACAAATGTGTATGAAAGAAAGAACAGTCCACTTACTCTGATCTTGTCATTGTCGCTCTTGTCCTCCATGTCTTCATCAAACTCTTTCTGTGGGTAAAACTCAATCCCGCCCATCTCCAGCTCCTTCCTCACCTACAGCCCAAACAAAGACAGGAAACAGCACGCATCTTAGCGCTGTCTTCAAATCAATCAAGACAGATAAAAATATTTATAGAGTTAACTAATCCAATGAGCTGATATTGCCCAGTTGTCATTTTATCCTACATACACACAACCCATTTTTGGATCTCTTTTTCTAACAACTAGACAAATGGAGCCAGTGGAAACAAGTGGTAAACACAACAGTGACATTATCACCTTACAAAGTGCTGAATTTGTTAGCAAACAGCTGCTAATTTACACATCCAGCAGTAGCACTAGTAAAACTAGTATTCTGTTGTCACGTCATCTATTTTTAGCTCTGATTTGGTCTCTACCAACTCCTGAGGGAAACATCCAGCTCTTCAGCTGCTAAATGCTCCACTGTGATCACCAGTTAGTCACTAATGGTGTCTGTCTGCTGTTTGGTGCTGGGCAGATAGTTTACAGTGGGGTTTTTTAGAGCTCTTTCACTGGAAACAGCTGCCTGCTGCGGCCAAAAACGACTCTACGAGAGTGGTGAGAGTAGCTTTAAAGACCAAGATATGAACTCAGCAGGACATTTTGAAGTTGAAAAATAAACTTGTCAGTGCTGAATACACTGTTTCTAAAATACCACAAACATATCTTTGGCATTTGGCAAACTATAGGCATCAGTGCCAACAGCGAATCAAGAAATGTCAGTATAGAACTAACACACACAAATACCATCTGAAATAAGCTAAAAAGCTCATATATAGGCCTGTGTAGCTCTAGTGGCATCATTGGTGAAACTCACCCGCTGTTTGAACTCCTGTCTCTCCTCAATGGTCATCGTGTCTGACTTTGCAATGACAGGAATAATGTTGACCGAGTGACTCAAGCGCTTCATGAACTCGACATCTAGCTGCCGGAGACTGGGACAGTCAGAGAACAGAAAAGACAGAGAAGAAAAGTGAGTAAGTAGGTAGATTCAGGAGCTGTGAGTCTCCCAGAAGGCCTGTATGCAACAGTGAAAAGACGATCAGGATAACAAGGAGCGGAAGAAGGGACCGGGATTTCATATGTCATGTTTAATAAGTCTCATTACCTTTCCCTGGTCTTGTAGCAATTATAAAAGATATACAGTGTAAATGCTGCTGAAAAGTAGGCTTATCACTGGACAAAGGTTGTGTCCCAGTTCTTGTTTGCCTGTGCACAAAACATCCTGTCGGTCTCAATTACCCCAGCTAAGAAGGATGAGATACACTGCTGCAATACACAAAAGACTGTATCCTTTTATCCATTAAAGAGCAATTTCACAGTTGTCAGCAGGAGCTAATTGTGAGGTGTTCAGAGGAGAGAGAGAGAGAGAGAGAGAGAGAGAGAGAGAGAGAGGGAGAGAGGTGTGTGTTGTCTGAAATATAAAGTAGCGCACTTGATTTAGGGCTTTGTTAATTTGAAACGAAATGTTTTATGTTTTGGGATAAACGGACGTGAACACTATGTGCTGGGATGTGGGTGTATGCTGCTCTCTCCCAGCCTGGGTGCCAACTAAAAACACATCCCTCTTTAGATGAGATATGTAAAGATAGTTTGAGTGATTGCTTTACTTTACTTTGAAGTTTAACTCACGAGTGTCCAGTTGGGGAGATGAAATACAGACAGCAGTGCACCCTGGTATCAGGGATGCGCTTCTTTCTGGTGATGTTGACCTCCTCCTTTAGGAATTTTTCATACTGCTCGTTGATGTACTTGGAAATGGGCTCCCAGCTGTGTGATACAACAGAGGAAGTCAGCTTGTGGGAAAAAGATTACTTGAGCCATAAAAGAAAGAAAGAAGAAGAGTTTACCATTTAGCATAATAAACTAAATGCATTGCTGAACTCCTGAACTAAAAGTACTATTTTATCAGGTGACAAGTGAACATTTGTTCTTGGTAAGATAAGACAGTAATGATGACATTTATGAGGCTTTAATGAGCAGTTGGAAAACCCACCAGTTGTCATTATTGATTTGGTCTCCAAAGCCTGGAGTGTCGACGACTGTCAGCTTCATCTTCACACCACCTTCTTCAAGGACTGTAAGAAATACACACACATAGAAAAGAACAAATCATAGCTGTTGCTCTGTATGTGATAATACAACTGATCTGTATTTGATGTACATTTGATATCTGAATATTCACAATATTGACTTAAGGTTTATGTTTGTCACAGCAAACAAAGAATAAATGATTGAGATAGTTTTAACATCTGTGTGATGTGCTTCTGTGTCTCCCACTGGCAAGAGCATAATAATGTCAGGTCACTGTCACCCGCAGGCCATTTGTGCATAATCATGTAGCAAACAAACACTGAGCTCTCCAACAGTTTGACGTGTCACCACTGTTTTTCCTGATGCTGATAAATGAGGTTGGTTCTGTCAGTTTTCCAGTCCCAGATGCCACCGTGTGCGCAGTCCTGCACACTGCAAACTGACAAGTCCCCAGCTCATTTCATAAACAGCATGCAGAGCCGTCTGCCACAGTAGCTGATTTGATACTCATACTGGGGGAGGGGTTTCAAAGTCAGATGTTTCCAAATACTACATATTGTGGCTTTAAATAGGACCAATTTGCTCTTTATTCCAGCCAATTTCAGACTCTTTTCAAACAAAAATCATGGCTGCACATTTCTGTTTATTCCAGCAGAAAGCTTGTGTGCTGTGGAAGAATGTCACAATCAAGCAAACAACAAATTGAGCCATGTTTACCTCTGTGTGTGAGTTGTCAGCAGGGGTCATTCACTGTAACCATGGAAACACAGCTCTCTGTTCTGAGATTGTCTGCCATGAGACTTTTAGCCTTGAGATTAGGTCATCTACCATCATGCAACTGCCTAACTAGTGCCTGCCAGACAGAATAAAGTAGTTCCGATACACCCACAGTATGTGTCTGAACAAATATTCTCTGGGCTGCTGATCAACAAGTCTGACAGAGAAGCACTGTCTCTGTATTTTGAAACTTTGAGAGTTACTCCCAGGGTTGATAAAGCTTCGTCAAATAAAAGCTGTCAGTGGGAATCTGAGGTAAACCTGCAGCCTGCAGTCCTGTTTATTATTGATAGCATGTGTCATGGCGACGGCCAGGCCTTAAAGGATCACCTTACATTTTTTTGTCAAGTAACCATACATACATTGAAACATGCTTCAGATGTAAGTGATGGAGGATATAAGTGAGTCCTTTTTACCTGCAAAAAAATTAAATAACTATATATATATATATATAAATTATAATATATTATTGTGACCGCCCCTTTAGTGATCGAACCTTCTTGTTACCTGCTCCTGCTACTGAAGCTTTCTATGACCCGTTACTTGCTTTTTAGGACTCTTTGCACCTCTACATTGACACATTGCCTGTCCTGACTGACCAACTTTTGCCACAGACACAGTAAACTTTGCCTGGAAATCCAGTATGTTTGTACTTACATTGGCACACTGACACTGTATGAGAAAATTGTGCAACAATTAAATATGCTGTCATATGTATGTCTGTGCGAATGTGCTCTGTGTTTGTGTGATTTTGTCTGTGCCCATATGGTTATATCATTGTTCTACTATTTGTCTGTACTTTAATATATTTTCTTTTAATGCTTTCTTAGATGCTGTCAACATGACAGGGACTGCAGATGAAAATTAGCCTGCATGGCTAAATCTGGCACATTTACATGATGGACTCAACTGCTTATATTCATTAATGCGCAGTGTCCCTCCTTAAATAAATATATTTCAAACTTCAGACTAATCCATGTATTAATTTTTAGATATTTTGCAAACAAAGATGAATGCATAACCTTCCTCCTACTTCACTGGTAGACCTAACTACCCCAAATACATTCAAGTCAGACGAGATTATGATATATAGCATAATTATACAAGAGCAATGTATTTTAGTAGTCATTTTGAAAGACAACCACCTGGTATAACAGTAACTGGACAGCTTCAGTAAACAAGTAATCATCTCTCAAACAAGGTACCTGCAGAAGAGGCAGAAATTGGCTCATGCATTCATAGCTCAACTTAAATAAATGGCAAATTCACTTGGCAGCTACCAGGGAGCACTGATGTACTGTAAGTAGGCTACTTTTAAGAACATGGTCAAAGATCGTTAATTTTCTCTGTCAAATTAAATGCTGCTATAAATGTCTGGCTCTAAAGAAAGAAACAGCAGCTCTCTCCCTGTACTCACCATGAGACACTGCTTTGATCTCGATAGTTTTAGGGATCTTCTCATCACGGGCCCACCCGGCGCTCCTCCTGCTGACTTGGGATTTGAATAAGGTGTTCACCAGAGTTGACTTTCCAAGGCCGCTGTGACCTAAGACAAGAAGGAGGGGGAAAAAAGTAAGATCATGGCCAAAGAGGTGGTAATATAATAGAATGAAAGGCAGAAAGTGTCCAGATATGAAGGAAGAATTTAGATTGCTTTGCTTTTCACCAAGAGCAACACTGAAAAAGAAATTAATAATATCTGAAGATGTTCTCTTCACAACTTTACACTAATATTCATCTTTAACCTAATTCACAGGCTTCTGTCACTTACCCACAACCATGATATTAAAGTCAAAGCCTGTCTTCATGGTCTTCTTCCTCATCTGCTCAATGATGGTGTCAATACCAATGTACCCCAGCAAAGTGGATCCACCACCGGAGCTGAGGGAGCCGCTATGAGCATGACCTCCATTGTGTGCTGCAGAGTGACTCCCACCGTGGCCCACACCGTGGCCCACACCATGACCCACACTGTGACTGCTAATGTGCACTGGAACGTGACTCCCGATGGGTACTGGGATGGCACTCGGAGGGGGAGCAGAAACACCGCCGCCTCCTCCAATGCCCGGGCCCTGGGGCGGGAAGGGGCTGGACGGGGAAGGAGCCCCCACATTTGGGGGTTTGGCAGGTACCGCCGGTTTGGGTCTCACTTCTGGAGGAACTACGTCTGACATGTCTGCAGAGTAAAAAGGATAAAAATATTTTTTTTCATTAACAGAATACTGTAGCTGGTACATCACTAGGAAGTAGGCCAGTAGAGCCATGCGAGGCCTCTCCTCTGTTTTACTTGTTCTACAGTGAAGAAATGGGATGTTGGAGTACTCCTAAAGGGTTGCTTCACCCAAATCACTAAAATATATTTCTTTCATGTACATCGCCATGCAGAGAGTTCTGGTTATAAGATATCTGTTTCTAGAATAACAGGGACATTGTGAAAAGACAGCCTATATGTTGGCTGATAACAATAATAATATAATTGTACAGTGTCATTTTTACATAGGAATGTTATGCTAAGGATATAACATATAAAATATATCCTTACATATATCTTATCTGTCAACAAAAAAAAATCCCTGTCAAGAGTGTTAAAATACTATTGGCCAATATGTCATTATTATATTTTGTTTTTGAACTGATTGAAATATGAATTACTGGTCAGGCTATAGTTGCCTACTCAGTGTTGGCAGATACCCAGAGTTTAGGTATCGGTATTAAGAAAAAAGTCAGATTGGTACATCCATACATCCGTAAATGTAACTTTTTAATGCAGTGAGCAGTACAGCTGCAACAATTAGTTGATTTATCAATTAAATCTGTCTATTGATGGAGGATTTTATGGCAAATCCCTTTTCTTATTCTACTATGATAGTAAACTAAGTATCTTTCGGCTTTGGACATTTGGTCAGAACAACTCTACTACAGTGGGCTCTGGGCCATTGTAGTAGAGATGTTCCAATACTATTTTTTATTCCCTATACCAATTTAGATACCTGATCTGCATATTGGGCGATACCATGTACCAATCCCATACATTATTTTTCAACAATATTTTATATTATTATTATATATGTTTTTATATTACCATGTATGATTGTCAGAGGAGGACACTGCCGCTCTCTTTATACATCCATGGACACTCCTGGGAAGTAGCAGGGTCGCTTTTTGGGGCTAATAAATTACGTGGTATGGGATCAGTGCTCAGACACACATACTCACCAATACCCAATACCACATTTTAGGCAGTATTGGAGGAAATTCCAATACTGGTAGAGGTATCGGAACAACTCTACTAATTTTTTTGTTATTTATTAACAAATGAATAATCGAGAAAATTACCAGTAGATTAATTGATAATAAAAACCATTGTTAGATGCAACTCTAGTGAGGGCCTAACTTACACTACAGGTGAGTCGATGTATCAACACGTATCTGTGAACTGACCCTTTAAGTGAATGCAAAAACAATGCAGGCAGATGGTAACAGTAACAGACATGAGATGGAGCCAAGATGTTGATAACCTCAGGCCTCCAGGGTGTACACATGGAGCAGCCTGCTGCCATGCTTTAAGTCAGTGCAGCCACAGACACAGATCATACAGGACACCGAGGCAGTGGCTGTCACTTTGATTCACAACACTCAGGAGTCATCATGCAGCCCTGCTCCTCTCTCTGCCTGCCCTCCTGCTCCTCTCTCTGCCTGCCCTCCTGCTCCTGCTCCTCTCTCTGCCTGCCCTCCTGCTCCTCTCTCTGCCTGCCCTCCTGCTCCCCTCTCTACCTGCCCTCCTGCCCTCCTGCTCCTCTCTCTGCCTGCCCTCTTGCTCCTCCTTGCTCCTCGTTGCCATCACAACATACACCAGATTTGCAGACTACATTAATTTCAGCATTAATTGTGAGCAGGTAAATCTCACGTGAAGAGCACAACACAGCTGATGATGCTCCGACCTGTTCACTCCACTATAAACCGTTATTAACCGTTATGAACCGTTATTAACCGTTATTTGTGCGCTGGGTGGCCACGCAAATGGACGCGAAGGGCCACACATTACGGCTCCATGTTCGAGTTAACCATGTAGTGTATCTATTTTAATACGACACATTAGGTTAGCTCCACCACAGCCTGTCGACCCCATTGTCTGTCCCCACTCATGCTGGATAATACCGTTAACAGCTAGCGGCGGCAGCTCCGTGTTAGCTGCTAGCTACCAACCGTCCGCTAACGCCGATGCGGTGTCACACTTACCGATTCCCGATCAATAGACCCCGCGAATCAGCCCGAGGAGGAAACGGTGCGATGTACTGTCGCCCAGAGTCCAGGAACAAACGATGTATATCACAAACACGGAGATAATAAGATGAGGAGTGGTCATGTGATCAGCCTGGGTACCTCTCCTCTCCTTCCCTCTGGCCGTGAGCCCCCCTTTACCGTTGCCAAGGCGACAGGAGGAGGAGATGCAGCGCGCATGCGCAGTGTGACTACCTCAAAGGGACGTTTTTTGGTACAGTGTCTTCTGTCACTGATACAGTCTATTTTTAGGAGACATTTTAGATTGACGTTATACTTACAAATAAATACAGTTTGAGTAGAACAAATTGTAACAATTCTCCTGTACGGTGAAATATGCTGGTGGAAGATGTACTGAGATCCTTTACTTAAGTAGAAGTAACAGTACTTCAGTGTAAATTATACCTCCTTTACAAGTGTAAGTCCTGCTTCTTAATTTTACTTAAGTTAAAGTGTTATTAATAACAAAATGTACTCAATCTATCAAAAGTTAAATTGCCGAGGCAGATTGGCCCTTGCATTGTTATATTACTGTGCATTATATAATTGGATTACTATTAGCCTACTTATGCAGAGGTAATTTCAACTACTTTATATGCAGAAATACATCATATTTATTTATTTATCTTATAAATTTAAATGTAGTGGAATGAAAAGTACAATATTCCTCTCTGAAATGGTGGTGGAGTTGAACAAAATAGACACATACATGTAAATGGTACTTAAGTAAAGTACCGCAGTAAATGCACAAAGTTACATATTATTAACAAAAGGTACCTGCAGTTTCAAAAGTAAAAGTACTCATTCAGTGGCAGGATATATTATATTATTTGATTATTTGAACTGATGAATTATTATGTAAACAGCATATTAATATCAGAGCTGGTGAAGTTCATTTAAACTGCTTTACATACTGGTGGATAGTTATATTTGTAACAGGCATCATATTTCATAAACTCATCATGTCTTATAATGAAGAATCACTACAACAATGGTTCCCACCCAAGAAGATAAATCAGAGGGGTCGCCAGATAATGACTGACGAGCTGAAGCAAGAATACCTCGCATATTTCTGCAACACAAAGTGCAGTTTATTTATTCTACTGCAGCTTCTAAACCTGCTTATCAACAGATCCTTCTTGTTGACCACTGAGAAAACTCTATTCACTGATGAAGGCTGTGATACAGTTGGAAACTACAGAAAAAGCTGTTAAGTAGGCCTAGAGTTGGGTTTGAAATCTTTAAAACAAACACTAGACAGTTCTCTCAGAATGCTTTTTAAATCAAACCGTTAGACAGTCAGCTTTTGTTGGACTACATAGAGCTCATGGACATGCAGTATGGGACCTGTGCCTTAGGGGTTGCAGGGAGATATTGCTTCACTTTAAAGGACAGAAGCCTTAAAGATTGTTAACCACAGCACTGTGATATCCTAGGGCCTCATAATACCACTGATCCTTATTAATATCCTTTTTTAATACTTAGTGGTGTTTTATTTTTAATCTCTACCCTCCAGGATTTCACAAGTGTTGCTGTAGTATATCTTAGTACAATTATTATTATTAAGTGTTACAGGAAGAGAATCTTGGCTGTGTCACCGTACTCACACTTTATCTCCGAGTTGCCCTCCTTTCGTCCATCTTTTGCTTCCCTTTCTGCATGTTTTTGTCGTGTTTGTTTGGCTCTGCGGAGCGCTGTGCTGGCCTGTCCTCCTGGACTAGTCACTCAGACAGAAGTGTGCTAACCAACGATGTCTCTCTTCAGCACGTCTGTTAGTCTACTGATAAGCAGCGATGTCTTAAATCCCTCTGCTATCCTCTTTGACCACCCCCTCGCCTGAGCTCCCGCCCCCCTTAGATAAAAGAAAAATATTGAACTCTTCCTCTAAAAAGATTTAAATAAACACGAGATGGAAGAGTCCTTGTCATGTATGCTTCGGGGAATTTGTTCAGTTAAAGTCATCCAAGCGGTTTGGAAGTCTCTATACTCACCCACATACACTGAACCCGGGTAATACATGGTGACGTAATATGGGTCCTCTGGTTCCTCCCTGATAAATGCTCTGTCTGCTGTAGAGTAATTTGGTTGTTGTAGTGGAAGGGTAACTGTTGTTGTTGTCTGGTCTGGTCTCTGGTACACTCTGTGCTGTGGTTGGGATGGCAGGTCAAACCCCCCCTTTGAACTGACGCCAAAACTGTTTGTGTTGAGTGGGCAGTGTGCCACAGACGAAGGCCAGCTTACAATGCACTTCTCTGAGGGATATTCTGGTAGCTTTGTGGGTGCACCGTCATGGTCAGACGTTGCAAAAATATCTGTTTGATTCAGTCCTGTGTCGCTGAGGTTCACCTCTTTGTGGCTTTTACTTTGCCTGGGAGACTGTTTGTGATCAAACTGATGTTTGTGTGATATAATATCAGGTTTTGATGTGGTGCACTCAACAGAAACATGTCGGGAGGCCTCCTGTGTGTGAGGTGCCACCAGACATGTCCTAGGTTGATCTACTCGGTGCACACACTGAGGAACCTCCATTTTTCGATCAGCGTCTCTTGACTGGCAGCTGTAATCCTTCGAAACACACTCAGACTGACTTACTGCACTCTTCACATCCATCTGGGTGGTTTGACTCTGAGCCTTCGACCAGAATCTGTGTTTCTGAGGAGACTTGTTGTCTTCTGATGCAGTGGTTGGTTGAAATGAATTTCCTGCAGTTGTCCTTATATTGTTTTCGTCCTTCGGTCCTGATAGAAATGTTGTATCCACTTTCGTTTCATTGTTGAAGCCAAAACGTCTTCTCCTGTTCTCAATATTGGGTGAGACAGTCGACTGATTCCAGAGAGGCTCTGTGGAAAACGACATTTTGGGAGTCACTGGTAAACTTCTCTCAGTATATATTCGCTCATACGATTGTTCACTGGAGGCAAATCGTGCAGCTCTACTCGGAAGGTAGTCTATACATTTCCTGTGAAGGCTCGACTTTGTAGCCAGTCCATCAAACACAGACTGAGATTCTCTCTGAACGTTCACAGTCTTAATCCCTTCAGACTCTGAAAGAGATGTTTGTGTACCTGTCGCTCCACTTGGCAGACGTTCCTGCAGCTGTTTGATGTTTGACTTTGGTTTAGGGATTGCAGTAATGTCTATATTCCTTGGCGGAGGCTTTGGTTTGTCAAGTACAATATTTTCTTTTTTGCTTAAACCAACTTTTCCTTGCAAAAAGCAGGAACTCTGAGACGTGGCTGCTTGTCTCTGGGAGTAAGTCTGATGTCGAGACTCTCTGCACGTTATGGGACAAACTCTTCTCAATGCAGGGTGAGTAAAGTCCAGTAAAGCTTCTTGGTCAAGAACGTCATGCTTTGCCTCAGGCTCAACTTTAGTATTTGATATAGTAATCGATCTAGCACGTCGTTCTTTAGCAACAGGAGAGGGCTGCTTGCCTACTTGGCCATCCAAACTCATCCCTCTGCACAGGGAAGTTGGAGATGGACTCAGTCTGGGTGTTGGGACAGTCAGAGTTGGAGATACACTTGGCTTCGGTTGAGGCTGGTGCAGTAATGGAGAAGGATCACTCAGCTGTGAGGCGGAGAGATGAAGAGAATCACTCGGCTTTGGTTTCAGAGAGGAGAGAGTGGGAGAGGAATTTGGCTCTGGAGCAGGAAAAATGGAGATTCTTGGCTTTGTAGAGAGAGTTGGAGAGCTATATGTTTTGGGCTTGGCTCTTGGGAGGGTTGAAGCCCTTTCTGCGTGGTTTCTCTGTGAATACTGACATGATTTACTCCAAGAGGGCCGACTGAATGTCTTGGAGGAACAAATTGGAACAAAAGACCTGGAGCCAAAAGAGGGAAGAAAAAATGTGAACTGCAAAATCAATTTAGTGCAATATTTACTATATTACATAACACACAGAACTGAAGCTACAGATTAATTTACCTGTCTGTGTTTGACTGTTTTGAGTTCTCATGGATGAGTCCTTTCTCATCAAATGATGGGATTTGAATGGGTTTCTTTTTGATGATAGGAGAGGAGAGGGAGACAGGAGGTGTCAAACAGACCAATGGCTGTTCTTTTGTTTGTCGGGAGGATGCAGATAATTGAGGGATCAAAGGTGCCAGGCGGTCAAAAACACTCATTCTGTTTTACAGAGGTTATGAGGAAAGAGGTCAAAAGAAAGAGTGTTACAGTCTGACAGTCTGGAAGAAGTATTAAGATCCTTTACTCATGTAATAAGGTAATAAGTGGCAATACCACAATAAAAGTAAAAGTAAATAAATGAAAAGTACTCCATTACAAGTACAGAAATATCTGCAAAATGTACTTCACTTAAAGTAAAAGTCGGCTACTCATTAAACAGAAAAATGACCCCTGTAAGTATTATATAATCATATTTAATATCATTAGATTGTAATTCTTCTAAATTTAATCCATAACAATGCATCATATTCTATGACTTCATCATATATTTTCTATTTAAATTTTAATCTGCAAAGTAACAAGCAACCATAGCTGTAAAAATAAATGTAGTGGAGTTAAATTAAAGTATCTTAAAATAGAAATACTAAAAATACAAGTACCTCAAAACTGTAGAACTTGAGTTAATGTACCAATATTTCAAACACAATCTGAAACCACAAGAACGCTCTGCATTAATGCTGTAAATTACACTACATAACAAATCTTTACAATGAAAAAAAGTTTGTTAAGTCACAGTAGAAGAAAACAGACACTAACCTGCTGTGTGAAGCTGTGTCTCTGTTGTTGACACACTGAGTGAGTGAATAAGTCAAAGAGGGCGAGATGGGGAACACAGCAGTAGGAAGTAGTGGGCACAGAAGTGCCATTCTCTCCATTCCTTTGACACTGAAGCTGCACTGTTTCACTCCCACTCTGGTCTCTCATTTTGTTTGGTTCATGGGACATAGTCTGTGAAGTCTCAGTGTGGTCTTATAGTCTGTCTGATTACAGTGTAGAACAGTGGAAGAAGTACTCAGACCCTTCACTTAAGTAAAAACAAAACAAAACAAAAATGAGTGCAGAATTCTCCATTTCATGTAAGAGTACTGCAAACAAACGTTTACTTTTTATCAGCAAAATTGCAGTAAAAGTGCTCGGCCCGACTGTTTTTGTGAATTAATTTTACTTCTTTGGGTCTCGAATGAGAACATGTAAGAACTCTTAGACAATCTCAAACATGACAATCTGTCCCTAACTGTACAAGTATCCTTTGTAAAGGGGTTTGTCTTGCCTTTCATAAGCTTCTCATGTTTTTAATGGAAAATATCTCAATTTTTAAAGGACCTACAGCTTTCAGATAATTGTAGTGAAATAACATATAATAACATGTAATAATAAAATAATAAATAATAAATTGGAAATACTCAAGTGCAAGTACCTTAAAAGTATATTGAAGTTACTTGAGCACATGTACTTAGTTACTCTCCACCACTGGTGCAGAAACTGAATATTTCACTCAGATATGATCAACTTCAGAATAACACAGAGTAAATCCAGAGAATTGTGGATTAAACTGTTTTATTTTGTATGAACAAAGGAAGCATATGATCATCAAAAGAGGGGTGTTACACACCCTGTTTCTTCACCATGCTGTCAAGTAAAAACAATGAAAACAAAAAAATAGACACTTTGAGCATTACCAAATACTATTTTTCTGTAATCTTGGTCCATCCAGGATAATTTTGGCACCTAGAATAAATCAGTTGCATTTATTCAGTACATATTATTCTAATAAAGTCACTACTACACCATTTTGGCACAGCGGCACTAACAATCCACATGCTCCTCAGCAGCTGCCATGCCGACATCACCAGCGAGAGGATTAAAACCCTCCCCGCTGGCAACAGATTCATTGCACTTCATGTCACTTCACTAATTAAATGCACAATATAAGTAAACTTCATGATATATGTAAAGTGATTGTCGAATTACAAAACGTATGTAAAAGTTGGCACAATAATAAGATGGCATGAAATTTACATCATGTTTCAAACACATTTTCTAAAGGGCAACATGTCCTCCAATCACCTACAGGTAGTCTTTTCCTCCTTGTGCATTTGGCTTCATTTTTATAAATTCTTTCTTCTGCTTCACTTTTCCCTTATCTCTACAGCAAGTGCGGTAGAGATGAGGGAAAAGTTGGAATGATAGGTCAGGTCTCTCCTCCATCTTCCTCATCCTTCCCATCTCCATCTTTAAGGTGTTGGCTCCCATCCCACTGGTGTCCTGGCAGCACCCCTGTCCAGATGGCCTGCCGCCCCACTCCGCCTCGCCCTCTTGATCATATCAGGGCATTGCTATCGTCATCTCTGCAGTTCACACTGGCCACCAGCGGGTGATGCCGGACTGTTTTGTTGCTCCACTTGTGGGCATCCTGCAGCCCGGGCTCTAGGAAGTACAGGCACGCTCCGAAGCCTGCCAGCACCAAAACCGACACCAGCAGGTAGAGGGGGACGAACCAGTCCAAGAACAGCCACGACATAACTGCTGTCAGAGGGAAGGGATGGGAAGGGTGGAGGAGGACGGGGCAGAAAATGGATGAGGAGACAGGGAGGAAAAGACATGACGGAGGAAGGGAAGGGAAGAAGGAGAGATTTTTGGGGAAGGGTGGATGAGCAGAGTTACTCTGTTATTTAAATCCTTGGAAACACTCGCTCTCTACAGGGTGAGACATCACGCCTGACAAATTGCAGCATCTCAGTATCCCATTATTCACTGGCACAGGAATCATGACATTACACAGCCAGACAACAGTGACAGACAACATGCTTTTATCATACAGTTTTTAATATGCACCCACACCCCACACACACACACACACACACACACACACACACACACAGACACACAGACGCTGCCTTCTAAAACAATAGAGCTGTGGTAGTAAATAAAGTCATCATGCTTACCTGGGAGACGCTGCTGAATCAGTCGGTCTTTCGGTGTTTGCTGGTATGTGATGTGCAGCAGCTGCGAGTCCAGTCAATCATTAGATTATCTCCAGCGCTGCAGCTCCCACTGTTGCATGTGAGACGGCAAAAATCACAGGTGCTCTCTGAGAGGCACAAGAGACAGAAGCTGCATGCGGCTTCATCCTCCAGCTCTTGGCTCTGACGTTCAAAAGGAGGGGTGGGGGTTGCTATGACAACACCCCTGCTGATGGCTGAGAGGATGGAGGGAGTGGGAGGGAAACTTATATAACTATAATCTATTTTTTGGGGTGGTGGGGGGGTTGGGGGTGGGGGAGTTAGGGTGATGGGAGTGGGAGGGGGGCAAGCCCTTCAGATGTCTCTGGATGTTGCCGCCTTGCTGCTCGCTGCGTAAAATCAATTCCACTCCATTTAACACCAAGGCCATCACACAGTTTATGTGACATTGAGAGAGAGAGAGAGTGAGGGGCCATTTTTGGGTGAGCAGCATCTCTCATATCTGCCCTGACTGACAGCAGCTGCAGTGTTTTATGGAGTCACTCCCCTGAGTAAAAGGGTGGAACAAAGATTTAGCTGGTTTCCGAGACAAAAGCCAAATACAGAGAGGCTGGCCTACATAATGAAAAGTTGTCAGAGGATGTCATCTCTTTTAATGGCTGCCATTTTTAGCTCATTCTGCACAAGCGTGAGATTCATGAAAAGCAGCCGAGTTAAACTGATCAGCTGCAAACCAGAATGAGCCCCACAAGTTACATAAAGATATTGAACGCTGTAGGATTTTATTCAGTTTAGAGATTTTACATGTATGATCTGTTCTGAAAGCTGAAGCTGCCTTGAATCAGATCTGGTTATCTTAGACAACTTTTAATAAATTTATAAAATACAACATATCATAGTTTGTCAGGGATAAAACTAGAGAGTCTTGTCTTTTCTTTTATCTAACATTACTGGAATTGGTTTTATTTATCTTATTACATAATCTAATTCATCTGATTACATTTTATAATTTGTTGATTTTAATCTGTACTTTGTAACTTAGGCTTTGGAAAGATTAGTATTATCATATTTGTTATTGAACTCCTATTTCCATTGACGTCCTGGCTGTTTTCACAGTCAACTAATCACAAACAACAAGTGATACTTTTTGCTCAGGAAGCAGACCTGCTGGAAGGTATCGTAAACACCTCCTATAATCACTGTGAAATGATGACAACTAAACACAATTAAACAATGCAAACAGTTTTAGTAACTGCTGTAAATTCAAAGCAGCAATTTCAATAAAAACTTTATAGTACAGTTCAAATATCATATATCAAGACAGAAAAACATGAATATGTTAACAACTGCTCTGAGAGAGATGAGCACAGTATACAAAGTGTGTGAAATTTAGCACGGAAAATGTGTCACTGTGTGTGTGTGTGTGTGTGTGTGTGTGTGTGTGTGTGTGTGTGTGTGTGTGTGTCCACTATGCTGGCAGCTGGTGGGAGATCACTTTGGTCTGCAGGAAGTCAGAAACAAGAGGAGCGACGACTTCAGGATTATTCAGATGGACGTGATGATCACCTGGTACTGTCACCACCATGTGCTGAGAGAGAGAGAGAGAGAGAGAGAGAGAGAGAGAGAGAGAGAGAGAGAGAGAGAGATGAATGATTAAAATGAAGTTGAAGTGTCTTTGTGTTGTTCTGTCATTTTTTGTTTTATTCATAAACCACTAGTTCAGCTTTGGCAAAACTTCACTTCTCTCATGTTTTGCCTTCATTACTCTGCTGGTTATTATCTCTACTGCAGTTATAGAACCACATCTGTTTATTGTTCACTCTGCACATTTATTTATTTTCACATATATCTGCACACTGTTTCCACTGTCTGGTCAGAACTGGGGTCTCAAACTCAAATTGGCTTGGGGCCACTCCGGACACTGTAATCTCATAAGAGGGCCACTTCAGTGTTCAAGGACTACAAGAAAGTGCAATATTATGAAAACATTTCCATTACTATCATCACATTTACAAGAATTGCACAAAGTATAATTTTCTATCTTTGTTGTTCACAGCCAAATAACAAATGAAGGCCTGAAATCTGCTCTTTTATCAACCTTTTCTGGCACCTTTGCCATTATTTTGTGCCAAAGGAAATACATTTTTTATATAATTGATATAAAACAACTAGAAAAAAATATTTAAAAAAACAATAATCTTGCGGGCTGGATTATTTTATGTTTTTTAAGGGAGGGGGATGGAGGGCTGGAAATGTCCCGCGTGCTGGCAGTTTGAGAAGCCTTGGCTATTATATAATATATAATATATTATACTTCAATCTACTCTAAATTAATATCATGTCTTTACACTCTAATTTCTCCATCAATAAATACTGTTAAACACCTCCAATTGATCTCCTAATTCTTATTATTGAACCATAATCAGAACCATTTACATTCTCTAAATTGTGTGTGAACTCTTTTGTACTTAAAAATGTGTATAAAGATTTCTGCTTATTCTGAGACATTGCGCTTGTATTATGGTCCTGCTTTTAGATCTGTGGAGTAGTCTGCTACAGCAGGTTTAAAAGATCAACACACACACACACACACACACACACACACACACACACACACACACACACACACACACACACACACACACACACACACACACACACACACACACACTTGGCCACTTGGACAGTGTTTAAAACACTAAAATCACTTGTTTTAGCCTACATACTTTGGTGCAGGGTGAGTCAGGTTTGTTGCACACATCAAACACAATGAATACAGTTATAGGTTAAATCATCACAATAAACTTTTATCTCCAACATTCAAACTCACATTTCTGTCTCGATAGCCCTGGAGAAGTGTGGAGGTAAGTATCTGTCGGTTTGATTCTGGAAGTTTTGCACCAAAGCCTTTGTCTGCTCTGGAGAAACAGAGATTTTAAACAGGCTTAGTATGACTTACAAGACTAGTATGAAGGCACATTAAATTGTTGGATTTAAAATAACAAGAGGACCTGGGACTGACATGACCATAATGTAAAAGTAATACGTTATAACACCATAATGCAAACATCAGTTTCAGCGTAATGGTGAATATCTTACAGAACAACTAGAACAGGAGCTTGAATCCTTGACTGCATCTCCAGACTCTGCTCCAAACTGATGCGCACTATGTTTTTCTGAAAACATAAAATAAAAAACACACACACAAGCTGAATGCTATAAGTTAACAGAGAGGAGGTGGTGAATGTGGGGGAAGGTTTGGGAAGTTAAAGTGACTTACAAAATTAAGTCGCAGGTCTCTGGAGAACACAAATCCTGCAGATGAGAAACAGATTCAGCTGAAGGCAAAGAGAGATTATTCCTCTGTGAGTGGAGAAGAAGAGATAAAAACATACCTCCATCAACTTGAACTAGACCTCGCTCTAAAAGGATGTGCACAGACTCTTCAGATAGAGTTGGGTTTGCAGCCAACAGCCTGAAACGAATAAAACACTTCAGCCAACAGCCTGAAACGAATAAAACACGAAAAAAACCCACAATGCAACTTGATCATTGACAGTTCAGTCAGAGATTCAGGTTCATTATGCTAGTAGCGGCTAATGTAACCTCGAGCTGCTAGCCTCAAGCAGAGATGAGGAGCGGCCTACAGATGTCTACTTGTTTCTAACTCCGCACTCCCAGATTGTTAAATAGTTTCAGCCCAAACTGCCTCAAATGACATCACTTGAGTCAATTTATACAACTTTTAGTAGTACTTAAAGTCTGTGTAAAGTAAATTAAGTGATTTATCTCTAAAAACCTTATGCGTGTGATAAAATAGTTGTTGAAAACATTATAAAAGACTGTGAACTATGTGGTACTTAATTGTGGAATTTTCCTCTTTCTTACCGGTTTTGGTTTCACCTGTAAACAGACTTAAATGTGTACAATCAGTGGAGTTCCTCTTTAAACTCACTTCAAAACCTCCCACATGAACGACGGCTTATTCAACTTGAGTTGACCATAAACTGGGGCGGTTTAATACCTCTCAGCTGCCTTCTCAAAAGTGTAAACTCTTTTCTTCTCTTCTGTCTTTTTTTCATACTGAAGCATCTCTTCCATCCCCTGCCTCATCACTTTGGGTATTTCTTTCTGCAGTTAAAGAGACAGAAACAGAAACAATGAGGCGAGAAAGTCAAAAACTACTGACAGGAGTGGAACATGGAGATAACTGAGGAATAATACGACAGCAATCATTTTTTTCTTCACTTCAATGGCCTCTCTTACAATTAGATCATCTTCCCTTTAAAGGCTTGTCATATGCAGTACAGTGATAATAAAAACTAAGTTAAGTACTGGATCTGTAGGTAAGAATCCAAAAGCATCCAGCAGTATGACAGCTTCCACCATGTCAGGATACAACGAGCTGAACTGTGGAAAACACAATATGGACAAAATATAATACAATGCAAGAAAATAGAGCAAAATATTCTCTGTATATTCTGTGAAAACAGTGATAAGTTGCATGTGATTGATCTTAGTTACCAGTGCAGCGATGTTAGCGCCTGTAAGAAAGTGAACAAACAATCACTTTAGTCAAAGTTTATTTATTGTTACGGACTTACTTTCAAATAGAGTCTGCCTTTGACTGTAGGACTGTAACTAACAATAATTACACATCCATCAATGATTAATATGTTCATAATTTTAGTATTCTTATAATTAGACTTGTAATTGTTTTTTTGTTGACACAGTCCGAAACAAAGTTTTTTTTTGCAACAATATAAATGCAAAAAAAAGCAGCAAATCTTCACATTTGAAAAGTTGAAACTAAATGGCTTACATACTGAGCCAGTTATTGTTCCAGCATCATTTGATTGATCACTTTACACACAACACAGTATAACTGCACCTCAGTGGCAAATGTATTCAGTTGTACCTGTACCTTGGAGTTTATGGCAGAAGTGAAAATACACAGTGTCCGTGCTGTTACATCTGAATCAGGTGTATTATTTATGATTTTCTTCACAGTGTGGGACTCACCCATACTGTGGCCTATGATGGAGAACTTTGTCCACTGCAAACCTGTGGGAGTTATTTCAGAGGAAACATCTGATTAAATCTAGTTTCACTTCCTGCTGTACCTCATAGCAGCTCTGATTGAACTGTCACAGAAGTCCTGAAGAGATCCAACCTCTCGCCTAAAAGAGATATGAGTGAAACTAATAGCTGAAAAGATCCCCCAACCTCCTGAACTCACACACCGTCAACGATTCTACGAACATCAGCCACGTACGCAGGAAACGAATAGAAAACTCCAGGAGGACGATGTGATGACAGGCCGTGACCTGCCAGGTCCACCGCCACGTATCTGCAGTCTGAGAGTAAAGCAGAGAGAGAGAGATGATCCACAGAGTGGTAACCTCAACAGGCCTCAGTCCTGTGTCTGTCTACTACTGGAATATTATTTGTTTTTTATGTTGGTTGGTTTTATCTGGTTGGTCCACCACTTCGCTCCAGACTAAAATAACTCCAAAACCTTTTGGATGGATTCCTGATTTTGTACGAACATTAATGGTTCCCAGATGATGAATCCTGATAACTTTGGTGATCCTCTGGTGCCATCATCTGGTTAAAATATCAATTTGTCTAGCATGTTGGCTTACGACCTAAATACCTACAAAACTAATAACGTTCCCATGAGCCTCAGCTGCACTTAGTGCTAATTAGCAAATGTTAGCATGCTAACACACTAAACTAAGAGGTTGAACATGAAGAAAATGATACCTGCTAAACATCAGCATGGTATCATAGTCATTGTGAGCAATGCTAGCATTTAGTTAAAAGCGTGGCTCTGAACCTCTGTCCCAAATCCTCATAGTAAACTGTTTTTATTAGTTAGTTTACAAAAATATTAGGTATATTTTACTATTTTATGCAAACAGGAAACTATTTGTATGCCAGGATTTAATACTTATTTACTTTTTTGCAAGATATTTTGGAGCTGTCTGAAAACCACACACAATTTATCTTAATTATTCTGCAGCAGTGAGCAGCTCCTCCGTTTCTTTTGTGCAATGTATTGTGGGAGAATAGTGTTCATTGACAGCACACTCAAAAGTCAATTGTATTAGTATACCTGCTGTCTAGTTTGAATGTACTTTATTTTGTCACTTTTACAGAAAACCTGCGTACAGTCAGTACGTACTGTAGATTTGGGGGACACAGCTTTAGTCTTGTTAAAATTAGGGTGCAATCACACACACATCAAAAATACTTTACCTTTGGGTAGAAGGGGAATGAGAGTCTTGAATGTACCACAGTTGTCAGCCCAGCCATGCAGGCACAGCACAGGACGACCGTGGTCAGGACCCCAGACTTTACCTCTGATCTCTCCCCATGGGACCCGCACAGAGAGCTCTGAAACTGGACACATAAACACAGAACAATACAACCTCAGAAAGAAGCTCAAAAACAAGGATCTGGTTGACATTTACTGTTAATATATTACCTGCTTGTGTCGTTGTAGACGACATTTCAATGTCTGATGATTCTCAGGTTATGGCTCACCTGCAAAGATGAATATCAGCAAAAACAAAATGCAAAAAGTGGAAAACACAACTTCTGACCTTTGGAACATAAAAGCAACCTGAAGATTTCCTGCAACCATTGATTTTATTGGTTATTCAGAATGAGGAGCTACAGTTATGGCCAATCATCAAACACTGCAGAGGCGGGATTTTACTTTTCAACAAAGCCAGATGACAACAGTCTACTAATCTGTGCTCATGTTCCCTCAGTAATGCCTGTCAGGCAGTCTCCACCAACGGCACCACCACTTCCTCTTTCTATAACGAGACTTTAGTAAATATAGATATGTGCTGCCACAATGAGCTCAACCAATCAGATGTTTCAAGGTGAAGTTAGAGACAATGAAAAGCCCAAAATAAACTAAAGATTAAAGTTGGGTTACGGTCTGTTTGGTCTAAATAATGAAACATTACTAAAGGAAACCTTGTGATGAGCACCCATTTACTATACGATACCATGTGTGCCTTATGTCCAGAATCTAATTGAAAGATTGGACATATATGTATCGTCTCAACAGTCGCCTTGTCAGAGGAAATATAATTTTGCCATTAATGTGCAGAACTTATTTGTTCATGTCACTGAAGCTTTGGGTAAACATTGTACTGTCTCTAACTACCAACCTGGATTTTAACATCAGCTTCTTCTACAAATGATGAAACCATCAACAAACTGCAGAATCTAATCCAATATCAGATCAAGAAGTAAGGAGGGATCAAAAGCTTCCGAGAGATCAAGCAAACCATCTCAATGGGATGTGAAGTTGAATGTTTCTGAGTCTGAAGGGTCGAAGAGATTGAGTCACTTTCGTGCAATAGCACAGTTTTTTGGAAGTGTGTCAGATAAAATATAAGAGTGGATTTAAAGATGAATGCTATGAATTGATCAGGAAGAGAATTCAACTAAGAAAATGTTTATTCACTTTGTTGCCAAGAGTTAATGTCTGTACAGTAAATATGAAGCTACAGATAAAACTGGAGGCCTGGCTCTGTATAAAACTAGAAGAAGTCCAGCACACAACCCGTAACAATGTAAAACCACAACACTTTTTAACAAACAAGCTATAACGTGTTAATTAGTGAACTTTAGATTTGTTGGAAGGTGGATTTTCTTACTTTTGGAGAGATAAGATTGGCAAGAAAAAACAAGTCTATTCCCCCAAAATGTTAAAATATTCCTTCAGAAAAAAAGATGCCGTCCTCATCAGATGATTTTCTCGAGTCATTGGTGAAGAGAACTGATTCAGCAGAAAGAAGAAGTAACGAACCAGAGCCAAATGTTCATTAAATGTTGTGCAAATCTCCTTATGATCTTTAACTGTCCTCTACTGGATTAAAGAAGGAAATAAAACAGACAGAGCTGCTTGTTGTCTCTCTCTATCCACAGGCTTCATTTATTCTTTATATGTTGCTTTTTTTATTAAATAAAATGCAGTATTTCCCAGACCAGCTCTACTAAAGTCATCAAAAACAAATACTGTGCCATTTCACACAGAAAATACACATAATGAGGGTGGCTATTGTTGAGACCGTTGCCTAATTAAATTGATCATGAGACAGGACGTATCAGGATCTGGGTGGAAAACCATCTCTGCTCAATTACTTCCAGGAGGACACTTTGAAATCAGACTTTTTCCCTCCTTCAGGCATTTTGGAAGTAGGTTGAAGTTGTGTAACTACTCTGCGTCTACCTTGAAATGGGAACTTAACCTTCCTTGAAAATTATAAATTGTTGGAAACCAGTGATCCTGCAGTGGTGACCTCATATTGCACTTAGTGGGTATAAAAATGGGACCAAAAAAATAAACAATAAATCACACTTTTTAATAAAATCACAATCTTGGGCAGTTTTATAAAACCTTCCTTTCTCTCTGTAACTGATACATTAACACTTAAAGCTAAAGCTGAACCTAAACACTTATAGGTACCCTACACTTAAACTTCCTTTGAGCTGTAAACTGAAGTATATGATTGTATTGTCAATACTGGTGTTAATATTGACATTCTTATCAAATTTAAGAAAATTAGCATTTCAGTGTTAACGCCCTCTAACGCCCCGCTTATTTTTAACTCTATACTGATCAAAATACATCAGCCAAGGAGTTTAAGCTAATTTTTGTTAGTATTTTTCTATTTTGGAGTAATGGTTTGGACTTGTGCTTTAGACAGCTGTAGAAACACCACCAGAATCAATACAATCTTTACCTTGAACCCACACACTGACAGTCCCCCCCAGACACACACACACCTATCAGAAAGTTAGCCTCTCTGAGCCGTTAGCTTAGCTACAACACAGGTACTGTGAATGTGCTTCTAGTGACTCTAGTCAGCTCCAGCGGACTCTGCTGCATTTTGTAAACTTGCTCATCACCTAATGTCCCGTCCTAACAACTTGTTTCAACAGGACTGACGTCACATTAAGGAAGCAGTGATGGCACAAAATGGGACCTTTAATATACTTTTGTTAACGTAAGCACTCAAACAGTTTAGTCTTATGAACAACAGCACAATATGACTTGTGTGTGACAGCGTGGTAGCAAAATGGAAGCGTGAGTGTGTTAAATAAATTATAACTTGTGCACTCGGCTCCTTGACCATGCGAGCGCTTTGGTTCGCAGGAAGTTGGACACAAACGGAGCGACGACTTCGGGCTTATTCAGATGAACGTGATGACCGCCCGGTACTTTCACCACCGTGTGCTGAAACTAACAGAAACAGGTAGGGGATCATTAACTGCAGATACAAAGAATCAATAACCTCTAAGATGGTTAAATGATCGCAACAAATCACTTCAAACATTCTTTCTTTTCATTCTGTTCCAGTTGCAAACTCACTTTTTCGTCCTGCAAACATTGGAGAAGTGTTGAGGTGAATTTATCCGGAGCTGGTTCAGAAAGTTTTCTATTGACGCCTTCTTCTGCTCTGGAAAACAAGATTTTTAACATATTTATTCAAAGTGAAGAAGACTGTAGAGTAAAGTATATTTTTGATAGATGGCTATGATATAGATTTGTGACTTAAATACATTTAAACAACACATTTTCATTGTTTGTCAGCTATATTTTTGCTCAGGACATTATCTACTGTGTGTCCGCTGTTATAAATGTATCTGCCTGCTGTCACATTGTTATAACACTATAATGCAAACATCAGTTTCAGCGTAATGGTGAATATCTTACAGAACAACTAGAACAGGAGCTTGAATCCTCGACTGCATCTCCAGACTCTGCTCCAAACTGATGCGCACTATGTTTTTCTGAAAACATAAAATAAAAAACACACACACAAGCTGAATGCTATAAGTTAACAGAAAGGAGGTGGTGAAAGTGGGGGAAGGTTTGGGAGGTTAAAGTGACTTACAAAATGAACTCGCAGGTCTCTGGAGAACACAAATCCTGCAGAAGAGAAACAGATTCAGCTGAAGGCAAAGAGAGATTATTCCTCTGTGAGTGGAGAAGAAGAGAAAAAAACGTACCTCCATCAACTTGAACTATACCTCGCTCTAAAAGGATGTGCACAGACTCTTCAGACAGAGTCGGGTTTGCAGCCAACAGCCTGAAACGAATAAAACACTTCAGCCAAGAGCTGATTATAGAGACAGAGTTACTAGAAATAGGATTTACATTGACCAGCAGCTGGGTGGTATCATACCTCTCTACTGCCTTCTCATAAGAGTAAACTCTTGTTTTCTTTTCTTTCTTATTCTCAAACTGAAACATCTCTTCCATCCCCTGCCTCATCACTTTGGATATTTCTGTCTGCAGGAACAGAGACAGAAACGATGAGGTGAGGAAGTCAAAAACTACCGACAGGAGAGGAAAAAACAGTCCTGATATGAGAGCAGTATGTGACTGTGAAAAAGGGAAGGATTAAAAGATTAAAATGAAGACAACTGCAATAATACTGCAGGAATCATTTTCACCAATTTCCTTGAAAGCCTCCGGTTGAATAAAAACCTGCTAATACATTATAATGAGTACAGTATCTAATAATAAAATGATATGATACATGTACTAACTGTAGCTATCACTGAGGGCCATGTTCTCTCTATATTTCTGGAGAGATTTATCAACCTGAAGGGAGCTGTACAAATTACAAATGGTGGGATAAAAGGCATTCTAGGATTTTTATATTAATATATTTAATTTGACTACACAATAAATGAATCATTCCTTGAAACAACATTAATACCTTTACATAACTTACAGAAAACCACAGTTGAATAAATAAAATAGCATTTAACCACACAAACTATCGAAGCTCTACATGGTTCGTACTGAATCTGTAGGTACAAATCCAAAAGTGTCCAGAAGTATAAGAGCGTCCACCATCTCAGGATACAGTGCAGTGAACTGTGGAAAAACACAAATTGGACCACATGATGATACCACATATAAAAACACAACAGTCTCTGTATGTTGTGTGAAAGAGAGGAAACAGACACATAAGATCCATCTTACCATTCCAGCAACGTCACCACCTGTAAGTAAAAAGAAGCTCTGATGTGATTTGCACTTTAAATTACTTTGTAACGCATATCATAGATTAAGATAAATTCTTCTGTAAAGCTGCACTCACCCATGCTGTGGCCAATGATGGAGAATTTCTCCAGCTGCAGAGCTGTGGGAGTTAATTTCACAGATCATCAAACAGGCAGGTTCAGTATCTCATCACAGAACACTGAGAAGGTTTTTAGTTGCCAAACGTCCAACTGTGGTTTAATCGTAGGTATGAAGGAACATGAGGGAGAAGATGTCTATAACCTCGGTTTAAACACACAGATAAATATGATTCTGCAACTTTAGAGACTCACACACCGTCAACGACTCTGCGAACATCAGCCACGTACGCAGGAAACGAGTAGAAAACTCCAGGAGGACGATGTGACGACAGGCCGTGACCTGCCAGGTCCACCGCCACGTATCTGCACTCTGAGAGGAAGCAGAAAGAGAGAGATGAGTAAAACACTTACAGAACTCAGGAAGTGACAACTAATGCCAAATGCACTCATTATAATCACAAGTAACCATTTGTTTCTTTCAAAGTAATTTCCAAAGAAGTTTCTTGCATTGAGATATCTAATTTGGGACTCATTGTAGGTAAAATAGAGACATAATGGTTGAGTTTAATTAGATCAGTTGATTTGAAAGAAAACCAGATCTGTTTAATATGAATCATGTTAATCATACATTTATTATTGGAAACTTTAATATCTGATTGAACATTGTCTCCATTTTACCTAAAGCTAATACCAAATCACAAAACTGTTTCCAGTAAATTATTTAATAAAATAAACCCCATAAGATAAAGTCAGTTTTGTTTCCTGAGTGTCTCATTACCTACTCGCCAACAGTGGATTACCTTTGGGTAGAAGGGGAATAAGGGTCTTGAATGTACCACAGTTGTCAGCCCAGCCATGCAGGCACAGCACAGGACGACCATGGTCAGGACCCCAGACCTGACCCCTGATCTCTCCCCATGGGACCCGCACAGAGAGCTCTGAAACTGGACACATAAACACATTCATCAGTCTGCAGCTCAAACATTTCAGAGTATTAACAGCTGTTATTACTGTTACTGTAGTATATATCAATACAAAGAGCAGCTGCAGGGTTCAACAGTCTGCAGCTCTCACACAGATATTTAAACAACAGCAAAAAACTTTCATTGATCATTGAGGACTTTATGGTCCTGGCTGTAACTTTCCTCAACAGACAACAGTGGAAAACCTCTTTAAACCTCCATACAGTCAGACTGTGTTACCTTCTCCCTCCATTGGAGCTGATTGTTGATCAGTGACAAACACTAAAGTCTGCAGCAGCTCTAAACATTCCCGGTCCGTCACTTACTTCCTGGTCTCAGCTGACTTTAAGCAGCATGGACTTTGATAGAGGAGGGCCTCTGTTTCCCTCAGTAAGGTCTTTCAGGCAGCACTTCTAATCAATGGACAGATGATCTTTTACTTTTAAAGTAAATGTAGCAAGTGTAAAAAACAATGCATTCAAAATCTTACTTAAGTAAAAGTATTAGTATCAAAATATACTTAAAGTAAAAGTAGTCATTATGCAGAATGGTCAATTTCAGAATAATATAATTATTGATGCATTGATGTGTAAATCACTTACATAACCTTATATACTACTAAATAATATGTATATATATTCATATTATACATATAAAAATTAGATGTAACATTTTTGGTACATTTATAAAATCGTGAATCTGTGGCATACATTAATACCAGTTCAACATGGCGGACACCGTAGAAGAGGACCCGCTCTGTCTGTAGATAATAAAAAACACAACAACTCTTACTTTCAGGTGATTATAAAAACATTTAATAATTAATTAATATTATATTCCAGTTGCTGCCAATAGATCCTCCTAAATGTTCCACACTGGACCTTTAAGATCTCCATACAGGACAATAACATTCTGTCCAGATACCCAATATTATGTAAAAATGCCTTTAAAATCTTCCAGTAAACTATTTTAAAACCCCGAATTGTATTCACCCCCTGAGATTTGCAGATTTCTACAGAAACAAAAGCGTTCTAATGAGAACAATCCACTCGCAGTCACATTCATGTAGCACGGGTGTTAACTATGAAGCCTGATGGAAGATAAGTTTTAAACTAGTGCAGCAACCAGATATAACATCTGTTTATGTTAGAATAAGGTCAGAATTCCCCAGCATCATGTTTCAGCCTCTTATAAAGACTGATAAAACAAACTCAGTGGGAAAAGAGTGAGACGCAGGTTAGTTCAGAAGTAGGGCGAGAGTTCTTCTTTTGTAGTACGCTTGCTGCAATCTCCTTTGGTTTCCCCCCAAAACAATGTTCAATTATTTAATTTCTATCAATCATTAACAATATTGGGAAAGTAACTAATAAAAAATGTTGTATTAAGTTGAATTTTATTGAAATGAAGGACATTTTACATGGAGATATTCAGACTTTAAATATGAGTCACATAATAAAACAACCTCTTACCCACAGTTTGGATCTGCTTCACCAAAAATGCATCATGACTTTCTGCCCCACTGCGTGTAACTGGTGCTTTATTCACTAATGATGGTCAACAGTAAAATAATCAAAGAATAAATTAATGCAAAACATTTAAGGAATCGTAGTTTCATAGATTTCCAGCTGCCAACACGCCATCAACAAGATATTGTGTTGAGTCCGCACTCGTCCTCTGCTCAAGCACAAAACCTTTCTTCCCACAGCTGGCTAACGTTTGATATTAAACATGAGGATACACACTTCAGAGGAGCTGCTGCTAAAATATTAACAGGCAGCAGACATCTGACGCTGTCTCAGTGCGTTTCAAACATTCCTCAAAGGCAGCAGGTACAAGGTGATACAACTACTGCCTGTGAATACACCTGTAGGGCAGCAGGAAAAGAGTTCAGCACAACACCAGACAACTGAGTCATGAGCCTGATGAAGATCTTCAACCTTCACTCGAAGAAACTTATGTGTGTTTGTTTGGGAGAACGCGTTTGATTACAAATAAAACATTGAACTTGAGATTGTGGCTCCATTAACATACAATTTACTATTTGTTTTTCTACTGTCGATATGTTGTATGTTTGTGGACTAACATCTAAAACTGGTTACGGCCCCTCCAAATCTATTTTGAACTCACACCTTTAAAAAGAGATAATTCATTTAATTATTCTGTTGTAAAATATGTAAATGTCTAATTTAAAGCTCAATCATGATCTAAAATTAAGTTATTTTTTTAAACACACTGTGAAGCCAATATCTTTTTGCTACAAACCATTACAAAGTAACACAAACATCAAAAGGGTCAAGTTAGACTATATATAGCTCTATATATGATCTACCAGTCAAATGTGTATTTTAGTTCTCTGGTACTGTGTAATTATTTAAATCACTGAATTAATCCTATTAACTTTTTCTAAATTTACTCCTTTTGTCTGATTGTTTTTTGCTGTTGTTTGTCTTTTTTAATGGGGTTACATTGTCATGTCATCATTGCCTTATGCGATACGTGGATTATTTGTCTATATTTAAAGAAAAAGAACAAGAAAAACAGAAAACAAAGAAAAAAACTTGTACTTTCATATTTTAATTGTTTAAGGTCATAGTTAAAGGTGGTGTTGTACTGGACTACATTATATTGAGAGAAGTTTCTAATATTACATCCTCCCTATTTACAAAAATGAGGGGGTCAGAATATCAGAAACGTCCTCAAAGCCCATCAAACCTCAGTGCTAAAATATATAAGTGAACCAACATCCTTAACAAAAACCTACTGTGAATGCACAGATTACATCAGCAGGCCAGTGTTGGCATTTGGCACACAGCTTAAGCTTTGATTGATGGAAACTGAGCCGAGCCTTGAGAAGTAAAGCTGACTCTTGAGTCTTAAAATCGCTACGATACAGAAGATAAAGATTTTAATTTGGGTAACAACATGGCCTCTCCTCTGGGGCGATACTCAAGCCACATTTTACAGGGTTTTTTTTCCAGAAGTCGAAGAAGTCTTTTACAAGGAAGGAGAATATGTAGAATTAAAAAAGGACAATACCTCTGATTCTGCTGCATCGATCAGGCATTTGATCATGTTTTTAAACCATCAGGAGTCCAACAGTGTTAAAGGAGTGAATGCTACATCGTTAACTAATGTATGTTACTGTACCTCGCTATCACGAGCCAAACATGTTTTCAAGTGTTACATTTTACTGTTGCTCTCATATTATCTCTGATAATTAAAGTGATGTTTTAAAGAATGATTAATTTCTGTTTAAATAAATATTAAACTATACTGCATTAACTTACAGCACCTCTGTCATCGATACTTGATACAAACCTTTTCACTGGATCAAAGAGCAAACTGAACCAAAACCACAGTCTGGCTGCCTTTTGTTGATCTGGTCTCTTCAACTCACTAAGCAACTGGAGTTAAAGAAATTGATGTTTATATTGCCCACAATGCCCCTGTCTCTATGACAACAATACACATTAATATCTAGTACAATATGTCCACCAAATGTAACATGAGTTGATTCTGTGGCAACTTGCTCAGGTTTAAGCACCAAGGTGAGTGTAAACTAGAGTTGAGCGAGTTTACTCGGCTGAAACGAGAATCCAGCTCAGGTAGCGTACAGGTAGAGTCATGTTTAAGCCCCGCCCATTCTGAGTACGGCTACAAATACAGACAATGTAGTTGGTTGAACAGATACAGACGAGTACTACTCGCTCATCCCTAGTGTAAACAGTACAGTAAAAAAACAACAAAGTTATTAAAAACTGAGTTTGTGAAATGACTTAAGGCAAAATTGATGCTTTTTTTGTGTTTGCTATAACTTAGAGCTCAGTTCATTTGTTTGGTTTTCTGACTGTGACAACACTTTGGTCTGCAGGAAGTCAGACACAAGTGGAGCGACGACTTCGGGATTGTTCAGATGAACGTGATGATCGCCTGGTACCATCACCACCGTGTGCTGAAAGAAAGAGACCAAGACAATTAGAGAGATTAACGCAGCTACAAGAAACTTTCGTTTTCTGTTGATTCTGGCAGCTCCCTGTGGACAAAACCAGTGGCAGGCATGACGGTGCAGAGAATGATATAGTATTAGTCTGTTAAAAACTCCTTTTAGTACGTTTGTGTGTGAACACTTTAATCTGCAATGACAGATTTTTTGGCCACTTGGGGGCAGCAGAAACTGATTGTGAACACAACACTGAGACATCATCACCTTATAACTTGATATGGTTAACCTTTTAGCAATTAGTTGTTTTTTTACACATCCAGCAGTTACAGAGCAACATTATCACTTACTGAAACACCTTTATTTATTTATTTATGCTTAGTCTGTGTTTGTACATTGAGAGCAACGTAAAACCGGAGTCAAACTCCTTGTATGTGTGCACATACCTGGCCAATAAAAGTGATTCTGATTCTGACCTTGCAAATTTAAGTCTAATATTCACTATCTTGTAGCTCTTTGTTTGGTCTTCACCAACTCATGAGGGTGATATCGGGCTCTTTAGCAGGAATGGGATGTTTTTCTGACAGTTGCGCATTGCAAACAATCCAGCTGAGAACTGGTTCCAAATCAAACAGCAGCTAAACAGTGGAGCTTTTCACACTATTCTTGTTTCTACAGTGTGTTTAGGTAGGTTTAGATAGTAAAACTATTCAAGGTTACTGTGTCTGTTTAGCTTTTTGGTGCTGACCAGGTAGTGTACAGTGGCCTAAAAACGATGCTATGAGAGCTGAACAGCAGCTAACCAACGAGCTGAAACTCACTATAAAGCTCTGTAAAACCTGCAGGTTCAGGTGATATCTCTCTGTAGGTTGATCACTACGAGTGGCCCCGTTCACATCTGATACATTATAATTATATTAATATTGATTACAGCTGCTTTAAGCTTCTCCTTTGTTGGGCAGTGAAAGTCTGAATTTCACCAGCTGACTTGTAAAGAGACTTGGAGACGTCGAGTTTGTTTCTCTCTCATCAGAAGCACTTGACCAAGTTCCAGTATGTAGGTCAGTGTTGAGGTTCACAGCTATAAAAAAAATTCTGCTGCCTCTGAGACACCGAGCCCGTACTACGCTGCTACTTTTGCATCTGTGCAGCTGTCTGTCTGTCTGTCTGTCTGTCTGTCTGTCTACTGGTCACAATTACACACACACAAAGGCTTAACGGCTAAAAATAGAGACAAAGATGCAAGTGTGCCTACTTCACACAAACAGACTGGAAAAAAACACTCACATTTCTGTCCCTATAGGCCTGGAGAAGTGCTGATGTAAATTTCTTTTGATCTGGTTCAGCAAATATTTTCTCAAAGCCGTCTTCTGCTCTGGAAAGACAAAGAGAAAGATTGTATGTATATTTAGTAAGGTACAATCTACTGAGTTTAATACATGTTATAAAGAGAAGTGAGGTCGACGAACATCTTACAGCATAACTAGAACAGAGGCTTGTATCCTCGACTGCATCTCCAGACTCTGCTCCAAACTGATGCGCACTATGTTTTTCTGAAAACAAAAAAAGAAAACAGTACATGCATTTTATGGGCTGCGTACGACTCGTGTGGGAGAAATAAAAAGGCAAAGTGATGAGTTGGTGCAGTTCAGCAGTAACCTACCAGATTAATACGAAAGTCTCTGGAGAACATCACTCCTGCAAGAGAAAAATACATTATATATTTTTTTAACTCATTTTATTCTATGAGGAAAAATATTAAAAAACAGAGAAGAGGAAGCTAAAACTGTACCGTCTTCAACTTGAACTAGACCTCGCTCTAAAAGGATGTGCACAGACTGTTCAGACAGAGTTGGGTTTGCGGCCAACAGTCTGAAACGAATAAAAAGGCTTTTTTAGACAACAGTTGTACGAACATTGTTGGATGAGTGGATGTTCAGTCGTTTGTGTAACACCTCTCTACTGCGTTTTCATAAGTGTAAACTCTTCTCTTTTCCTCTTCAGTCTTTTTTTCAAACTGAAGCATGTCATCAATCCCCTTTCTCATAACTTGAGGCACTTCTTTCTGCAAGAAAACAGACACAAATAATGAGGGAAGCAATTCAAAACCACTGACAAGAGTGGATTGAACAACACAGCCCTTTGTGAAATATTGTGGAGTAATGCAGTAATATAATGTGACTGCTAGGCACTGAGCCAAAGGACAAAACTGTATCAGACTCAATTACATTGGTGACTAAAAGCATTTCTTGAATGTAATGCCTTTCAAAACGTCAAACAACCTGTATATTTGTTTTTATTTACTCACAATCTGGAATTCCTCAGACATCGTCATGAAGCTGTAAACCAGCGGTCTCAAACTCAAATGACCTGGGGGCTCTAGAGACGCCCCTAGGGGAGCTCCTATAACATGTTTTTTTTTTTTCCAACAAGAGATTTTAATGCCAGGGTTTCGGCAGGGTTCATCAAGTTCAATTTAAGCCTTTTTAATAGTTTTTAAGGATTGGGAACTGTCCAGGAGAAGCTGTAAAACGTTGCTGAGCAGAGACACTTATGGACTACCTCACTTAGTTGGCTGCAGATCAGTGGCAGAAAATGGATGGATGGACTGTTTAATGACCTTTTTAATACCACATAGAGCACAATTTAATACCTGTTTAATGAACATATATATATATATGATATAATTAATCAAATTAATGTCTCCTGGATATGTGGCATAAAATGGATATATGGATGAACCACTAAAAATGATGAATTTACTTAACTTAATTTAAGATTTTCCTACAGCAAGAGAAAATATTTAAGGCTTTTAGAATAAAAGTGAGGGGTTTTTAATAAATGTTTTCCCAAGAAACTAAATTCCCTGATTTTCAAGACTCTTGAAGACCTGCAGATTATTCTTCATGGAGAACAGCAGCTTTCTTCTTAAGCCACTTCCATTACAACGGTCTCTGCTCTAGGTCAAGCTTTTATTTGAGTTAAGACATTTGTGTGACTGGTATATGTGCAGAAAGTTCCAAGTTAAATGTAAAATTCAAAAGCCAATTGTCAAGGCCCAATTTTGAAGCGTTTCTTGTACAATGATTACTTCTACAGCAACAATGATTTCTCAACATGAACAGTAGTAACTTTAGTACGGGGTGTAAAAGCTGTGGAAATACCAGATCTGTAGGTAAGAATCCGTAAGAATCCAGCAGTACGACAGCATCCACCATCTCAGGATACAGAGCACTGAACTGTGGGAAACACACAATATGGACTAAATATAAAATAATATAATGTAATAAACATGTCTATGTGTGAAAATATTAACAAGATGAAACAGGCTGTAATGACACTGTCACTCACCATTCCAGCTATGTTACCACCTGAAATAAATAAAACAAACAAACAGAAAGTGTCTGTCACATAAATAGAACAAGAGATCACAAACACTTACAATTGCTCTAACTCTGCTGTAAAGCTGCACTCACCCATGCTGTGGCCGATGATGGAGAATTTATTCCACTGCAGAGCTGTGGGAGTTAATTTCACAGATCATCAACCAGCTTCAGTCTCTTGTCACAGATATGGAAACTGTCTTTAGTTGAAAGACAACATCTCTACTGTGGTTTAACTGCAGTGCAGATGCACTACAGCTACATATTCTACAATATTAACCATATTGTTCTTTTATGTGAATATAATAAACAAATGTTCTTTCTTCAGAGGGTTGAGTTTAACTGTAAGATGTGGTTGACAGCTCCAGAAAGAGCAACAAACCTTGAATTAAGAACATTTCAAAGGCAAAACTATTCAGATTTGTAAAATAAATATCTTCAATAACTTAAAAAAAAACCCTCTTAGTTTATAATTAATATTTGCTCTGAATCATTAATTTGGACAACAGAAGTTTGTAAAAGGATAACATCAATCACTCAGACCCAGGAGGCACTATCAACGCTGATGTTTGATTTGAATTAGCTGCTATAAACTTTATAAACTTAATAAACTCACACACCGTCAACGACTCTGCGTACATCTGATACGTACGCAGGAAACGAGTAGAAAACTCCAGGAGGACGATGTGACGACAGACCGTGACCTGCCAGGTCCACCGCCACGTATCTGCACTCTGAGAGGAAGGACAGGGACGGTTTGAGTCTCACCAAGACATCACTTCTTTAAGGAAACTACATTAAACTGAATTAAAATATTAACAACTCTTTAGTGTGTTAAGCCATAAAAATCCACCAGCTACAATTGTACTGTCAGTGTCCTGGTGAAGGGCAGTGGTGATATTTTCATTATCAAATAACATGTTGATTTGTGTACACATAAAATAACAGAGAGAAACTGAAGAAACACTCAGTAGCAGCGAATGAGAGTCTGACAGTGCTCTCCTCGTCAATTAAAGCCCCCAAACGCAGACTTTGTTGGTTAGATTTGTATTCTTTGAGGGTATAAGAGTTAAAACTGTGGCTGTGAGAGCAGGGGTAGTTTGTACATGAGATCTCCAGTTTACTACAACAACACTTACCTTTGGGTAGAAGAGGAACAAGGTTGTTGAATGTACCACAGTTGTCAGCCCAGCCGTGCAGGCACAGCACAGGATGACCATGGTCAGGACCCCAGACTTTACCTCTCATCTCCCCCCATGGCACCGGCACAGAGAGCTCTGAAACTGAACACATAAACAACTTTTAAGTTAAATGTTAACACTTAATGCTGTGATTCAAAGACCGGATCAATTTCACTTCACAAATGGAAATATACCTCAGAAATAAAAAAAAGAAAATATCAGATAAAATAGATTTTTTTCAGTCATAATTTGTCTTCAGTCTCATTTTGTTAAAAAAATAACATGAATTGTATCGTATCATCTTTATTTATTTCCCCAATGTTTTATAAAACAAGTTAGAAACAGATGAATTACAGCACTACAGTACGGTGGTACATGAAAAATGTATATCATATGAGAAATTAAAACCGGTGAACAGGTTCATCCCGTATATATCACCCAGCACTACATACACTGATCTCATCCTCGTAATAATACATCTCTAAAACACAGATAAAAAAAAAACCTCTGCTCACATTTAATTGTATCTCCTCCCCTCGGCTGACGTCACAGTGTCAATGCAATTAAATGTGTTTTTGATTGTTGATTGTTCAATCCCTTTAACATACACACTTATTATTATTACTAGATTGATAAAAATAGGACACAACTCTTCATATTAGTGCTTCTTCTGTTTCATAACAATAGTTTCATAATTGTTTTTAAATATTTTCCATGCTATATAACCTAAAGACTTAAAATCGATATAAAACATTATTACTACACTGAGCACATTGGGGCGCACCACTTCATACTGTATCTTTAGTAATATATTTATTACAATAATGTTTGGTATTGATAGTATTGATGGTATTGATGTTGACTCACACTAAACACAGTCCGCAGCTCTTTTAAGACAAACAGCTCAGATTCAGCTGACATATAAACATTTATTTACCTTTCTCTGCTCTGTAAAGCAGCTGTTGAGGTGTTAGTAACGCCTGCACTTATATGATTATATCATTATATCATTATATAATTGTATATATAGTTAGTTACCTGCTTGCTTCAGAGTACCGGAGTTCAGGTGTCTGATGCCTTTCAAAGCCTGCATCATGTTGGAGAACCAACCGGAGTAATTAAAACCTGTACAAAGTTAAACAAAACAACAGAAACAAAACAGAAAGTGTAGCCAACCTCCAACTTAAATACTTTTACAATGTTTTTGACATTCAGTCCCGGTTTTCCGGGTGCTGAATAATCACGTGCCGCGAACTGAAGCTGCTATTGGATGAACTGGACCAATCACCGCGGAGGAGAGGAGGGGCTTACCTTTTACCCATTGTGACGGTAACCAGCAGAGGGCCCGATGGGTCACTGTCACACTGATCATACCTGGAGAAATGTCAATGCTCTTTCATAATAATATTATAATATAGAGCAGGTCTAGATCATACTCTTTATAATATACAGTCAGTTTCATACACAGACACCAGAAAATAGTTATATAAGGAAACATAGTGGCATGGTATAAGATTATATATTAAATTACCCTAAATAGTCCTAAATATACTTTAATAAAAAAGGCAGTGGCAACTATATAAAAGTCTGAAGCTGTGATTTAAATGAGTTGGAGCCAATCTGTTTACTGGGAGTTTGATCCAGATATGAGGAGCATCAAAACTGAGCACTGCTTCTCCAGGTTTAGTTTTGACTCTGGAGACAGTAACATAAACCACTCAGTGTTTTATTATAATATTCTTTCACAGCTTCTAATTCACAACTAAATAAGTGGAGTATAGATGGATGTTATTAAAGGGGGTAAACTGACCATTTTATGTAGTTAATCAGCATTTATAAAAGCATTGTTAAAAAGTTATGGACAGTGCTTGATTGATACCTACCTGGTTCTCCTGTTAGCTTAGTTGCAGCTGTTTGATACTTATACTTTAAATCATAATTATTAATACAGAATATTCGGGGCCTTTGAGAAAACATTTGGGGCAGGAGCCCAAGAAGCCACACCCCGCTCTGCCCCTGGCTGCAATCGAGAGAGAAACACATATGTATGTCATCTGCACAGAAACAGAAACTGATATATATCTTTCAACTCTGTAACTTATTGGTAGTTTATAACTTGAGAATAGGGCTGATTGCTTACAGGCGGCCCTTCACTTAAAGGGGCTGAGGAGAACTTAAAGTCACCAATGGCAACACAAAATGACCTTATAGAAAGTGATAAATAAAACTAATTCAAAACAATACCAGTTATATCCTATAAATATATAATACATGCAATCAAACCAAATGAGTCAACGTGTTTGTCCTGTCCAGAGTTTTTATAACCACTGAGGGGGGGAGTTATGAAGGAGTTATGAAGGAGTTATGAAGGAGGTGTGAAGGAGTTATGGAGGAGTTATGATAGGTTGGCTTTTATGTCTGAATTTTTTATTTTTTACGTGCATGGTTGATCTGAGAAAATGTATATTTTGATATAAAACATTACAGGTGGTTTATAGGAAACATTAGAGCTGGCGTGATGTTGCATAACCTTGACTTCCTGCGTGTGTCTGTGTGTCCGTCAGCACGTGTGCATTTTAATGGGATTTCCATCAGAGGCATTTTACAGATGGTTATGAGTTTATTACAGTGATCTTGTGCACTGTTGTCTCGTATAAAGCATCTTTTTACATCTTGATACGAGCATTATGTTATCAGTTCTGTGCATCAATAGACTGTTTACATTATATACATTTCCCTTTGTCATGTTAACCATTTCTCTTCATCAGGTTTATCGTGCAGATTGTTGTTATTGTTTGATGTGTTTATAATTGTTCTATTGGTTCCCCTGTGAGTAAATAGTGAAGTTAATTGAACTGTACTCAATTGAAATGTCACATGTTTAGTTAAAATAAGTTTTGGGGGCTGTAATTCAGTGAGTAGATCCTCTTTCCTCTGCTGTATCTTCTGCGCTGCACTTGGCCTAAATGCAGGATGTGCACACAATCAGCTTCCTGTATCTATAAAAAAAAACATAAAACAATGGTCGTGTCAAAGTTAACAACATAGTCCCCATTGTTATCATAAAGTACCATTAAATAAACCTTAGTTATCACAATAAAAATCTATGTCAAACATAAGTCCAAATAATTATAGTGCCAAATCCCTAATCATTACGTGTTATCTGGGCTTTTCTTCATGAAAAGAACCCTTTTAAACGTGCCACAATGTCTGCCTCAGTTGTGCTTATCCTGCCTCTCTGTCCCTCCTTTCAGCCACATTCCCACTCCTCCAGGCCCCCTTCACTGCCTTTTCTCTACCTGTCCACCGAAGCCCTCTGACGTTTCCACCTGTCCCAGTCACCTGGCTCCCACATCCAGCCACTCCGCCTTGTCCTGCAGTAACCCCTCTCTCTCTATTCAGTGCGGCTGAAAGGAGGGACAGAGAGGCAGAACGAGCAAGAATAAGGCAGACATTGTGACTGAATGTCTTTAACAGAATACAGTTCACCAGCCTCAAAAACTGAGCAGAAAGTCGACACCCAGCGCTTTCAAATAGTTACCAAAACAGCCAGTAGAGTTAAACCACTTGACTGTGTCAAACACCTTTCAGATGCTCTAAAATCAATGAAGCCCTGAGTTTAGTGGCTTAATATCTTCACCTCTCACATGCAGTAAAATGGAGCAATGCATCATCCCATCACATCGCAGACAGAACATGAATCCATCCGCCACACATACTGCTCTCTGTTCAAGAGAATCAATAATGAGGGGACAAATAATTACATGAACACAAGTTTTTAGTTTCTCTTAAATGTTATTGCTTTGCTTAAACACAAACCTGGTGACCCAAACACTGACTGTGTCTAATCTAAACACACACACACACACACACACACACACACACACACACACACACACACACACACACACACCCTTGCACACTGTTTGTCTGTTTGCATATCTCTTTGGGTTTGAGATTAAGCAGGGCATATAAAGGCCCAATGACATAAAACAGAAAATAAGAGGTCTCTCTCTGAGTCATAATTAAATCAGAGACGACAAAAGTTTCCAGATTAAGTTCAGAGGTGTTGTCAAGAGATTTGAAGAGACGTGCAGTGAGAGAGTTAGACAACTGGGCGGGCTGAAATAATTTGGTGACAGGAGAGAGGGAGGGAGTATAAAAGGTCAGTTTTGGTGGGGGGTGAAGTCAGGTCAAGAAGAATTTGGTATAGTCACGCAGGATATTTCACTTCTTTGCAGGTAGGTATTGTCTTTTTTAATTGTTACTTGAATTTTAGAATAATTCCCATTTATTGATAAAATATGTGTGTTTAGAGTGAAAGTCTATATAACTGAAAAATAATAACAATGGTTTGATGAAAGCAGATTTTGGTAATTGGTGTTCAGAATAAAAAGATATACTGCACTCTTACTTTTGTTATTTAATCATGCATTCAGGATGCAGAGAAATGTCCTGGTGGAGTTTTTAAACGGACATTTATAAAACATTTAAAGAATTTTGTGCCAAATCAAATTAAAATTGCCACAAGAAAAAAAAAAAAAACAATATTAGAAGAAATTAAAATGTCCTTGAAGAGAAAAAAACTTAATGAAGAGAAAAATATCTTTTGTTTACATAATTCATATTAACATGTGACAGCTTTAAGAGCATCAGCAGTGCGTCTGATTTCACTTCACATACAATATGCAGGGTTACGTTACAGACTCAGAGAGGGCAGCTGAGGTAACGTATACGCCTCTTTATAGTAATGAGTTGCCCTTGAATGAAGTGGTTCTTGGCTGCTGGCCATCAAATTAAACAGAAGAAAAGCAATAAGATATGATTGTTTGTGTAACTTGACGTGATCAGGATACGTTTCTCTCTGATGGTTCCTTTTATTTTCAGTGACAGAATCTGTTTTTGTTCCTCAAATCAGTGTTTTTGTGACCCGTCTCGCCGTCTTCCTCAAATCATGGCCGACTATGACATGGTTCTGAAGTTCTGGGGGCCAGTGGAGGCTGACTACAATGCCAATGGCGGACTGGTTCTGACCCGGTCAGTGACTAACCCTTTCCTGTAGGTCAGCTGGTTTGCAACGGCTGTAAGCCAGAAACACAGGATGCTTTTATTTATTCGCTTCATTGTTCACTTATATTTTAATCATAAGTTTAATTTCCAAATGTGAAGGTCTAAATTAAATATCTAACTGTGGCATTATCTCTGGTGAAACCTCACATTTCCCTTTTCAGTTTATTCACAGAGCACCCAGAAACCCAGAAGCTGTTCCCCAAGTTTGAGGGCATTGGCCAAGGTGACCTGGCTGGTAATGCAGCTATTTCTGCCCACGGTGCCACTGTGCTGAAGAAACTCGGAGAGCTGCTGAGGGCCAAAGGCAACCACGCTGCCATCCTCAAACCTATGGCCAACAGCCACGCAACAAAGCACAAGATACCCATTAATAACTTCAAGGTGAGGATGACGTACATGAGGTCAAGTTGCATCTGTTGCATCCTATTTTTTTGTGTCCTCCTGATTCTAAAGCAGACTGTGTGACTTCCTCTGTACTTTCTCTTCAGCTGATTACCGAGGTCATTGTTAAAGTCATGGCAGAGAAGGCAGGACTCGATGCCGGCGGGCAGCAAGCCCTGAGGAACGTGATGGCCGTTGTCATCGCTGACATTGATGCCACCTACAAAGAGCTGGGCTACACCGGCTGAAGATTACAGTCCCATGAGTTGTGCCAGGGTCAGATAATAGACAAGAACATTTCCCACATGCATGTCCTTTTTTGAAAATGAAAGTTTAATCCTCTGTATAGATACATTAACTAATTTACTAGGAAAGGAAATCCCTTACAGCATCACCCTACGAGTTAAAGAACATAATAAGCTTCACAAATATATCTTTTATTGCAGCATTATTGTACTAGATTGTGTTAGATGGTAAAGGTTTTTCTGTCATTGTCAGTCCCTCCAGTCAGTTGCGATCGCAACAATAAAACACAAATTTGAAAAATCCCTGTAAATTCTGTGAGACCTTAGTTTTTGTCCTTTCACCAAATCTTTTCTGCAAATTTGACCAATCATTGTAGTTTCCTGCTCAAAACCTTCAGCCATACATCAAACTTGTTTATCCTGTCCAAATATTGTAATTTTTTCCTCACTGGATCAAGTTTGCTTTGATCTTTAGTGAATTGAATTAATGAAAAATCCCCCAAAATTGCACCCATTTTTGCAATTTTCACTTTGTCTCACAATTTCATTGGAAAAATGCCCTAAAACATGGCAACATGCATTGTAATCTTTTATTAAAACTGCCATGAAATCAGGTATTTTTAGGGTCAAAAAGCCTGTGAAATCCTGCTGTAGCTGCTCATTAATTAATAAAATGTTCTTTATTTTAGTTAAATGAGATTAATCTTCAGGATTCTTGTCTAACAACATACTGTAACCCTTGTCACATATTAACAATAAAATTTTGTCTCTCTACTCTGCTCGTTATTTTTAAGTTTTATTCCAAGATCATCGAAAAACAAAATCACAGACACATGATGAGTCTGTTTCATTAGTCACCTCCTGTCCCCAAAGGGAAAGTTCTGATTAACTCACTGCTCATTATAAATAATAAAGTATGAAATAAAGGATGTGTTTGTTAAGATCTGCGGCCTGAAATCCAAATCCAGCACATTGTTAGAGCCTGACAGTCCAGATAGGAATCAGGTCCAGACTAAAGCTCTTAACATCAAGTGCCTGGACACACACACTTACGCATGCACATACTCCACAAACAAATGCACACAGATACAGACGCATATTAAAAAAAAAAAAACCCACTTGAACACTTCACCCACAGCAATGTCACCAAAGACCGCCGTGCTGATTATCTTTCAGACTCTTTCATTCGTAGTCACCTGATCCAATGTGGACGTGACGGTGCAGGGCCTCTGGCAGCAGCCATACTGGGGACTTGATCGCTCTTTCAACTTCCTGTACCAGCCCTCCACTTTCCAAGAATTAGTCCTCCTCAATCTGTCCTCCTCATTTCCCACCCCTACACCGGTCAAGTGTCAAGTCCTATCACTCAGAGGGAAGTTAATCTATACTTGCAACCCCTCGTCACAGATTGCATGTGAGCAGGTCAAAGAGATATTTTTCCTTCACACATTGTTCAGTTTCAATTAGAGGCCAAAGAGGTGAAATGATCCAGTATTTCACAAGGATAAAGCAAACAAACATTTCCTCTCTTGACCCTTCAGGTTTGATTAAATGTTTAGTCTATAAAATGTTAGAAGAGAGTGGAAAAATACCCAATTCAGTTAATAGAAATATAGAAAGATATTCACTTTATGATGCTGCGCTAGAGAGAGAAAAGGTGCAAATCCACATATTTGAGAGGCTGCAACCAGAAAATGTTTCCAGCCATGCTATTAGCAGGACTCTGGGGATGCTGCTCGGTCCGCTGCTTTAGTCTAATATCTAATAGTTTCAGCTGTTGGCTCACTGGAGAGGCTCTGCTACACTAAATGGAACAGAACCTTAATTAATGTCATGTTCATCCAACAGTGGACCATTTTAATATTAAATGGTATGGTGGATTGCCATGAAATGTTATAATAAATGTTACACTCAATGATCCCCGAAGGATGAATACTGCCGACTTAATCCTCAGACTTTTCCTCTAGCGCCCCCATGAGGTTGACATTTGTGGGTTTTTTATTGAATCATTCCATCCAGTAGTCCGGTACAGACATTCATAGTCCCCTCTGGATGAACTGTAATGACTTTGATCCAGTGACCTTTCAATGTAGCGCCGTCATCAGGTGAAACTGTGCAGTGAAGATAACAGCTGGAGATGATGCAGATATCAATGAGCCACTCTGAGGCTCGTCAAAGACCTCTGAGGTCTTTCATAAAGGTGGTGGAGTAAAAACACAAAATGTGTCAATGGCACATTAGAGGTCACTCAAAGGAAAACATCTCGACCAAGTTTCCCACTACCACAATCAGTGGAAAGAAGCAGTCATTTATTTTGGTTGAGCAGTAAAGTTTTGTGATGAGGATCCCAGAGAGTGGAAGATATTGGTGTTATCAATCATTGTATTATCATTGACATTCCAAAGTCCCACTGACCCCTGACCTGATGTCATAACTGTGTTTGGTTAACTCGTTTGATGGATAATTGCCATCATGGACTATTAATAGTGTTTGTGTGTGTGTGCGTGTTAGTGCGCGCATGCAGACGTGACACCAGGCACAATGCCTCTGGTCACACACCTCTGTCTCCCCCCCACTCCTCCCCTGCTGAACGCTGACCAACTGTTGACTGAACAAACACTTTGGGACTCCGGTTACTTTGTCCAATCTGGAACAAACAGGAGTTGTTATCTAACAAGAGGCAGTCAAAGACCTGGTATCACATGTACTCTGGATCCTCTAAAACACAGTGATGAACCTTTAGTTTCCCCAGCCTGGTTCTGGTTCTGAAGTTCAGAGTCGGCCTGTCATTGTTAAATATATGTTAAATAAAAATATAAAATAGTTTATTTCATTACAGCTTGCTCAGAAGCAGCTTACAGGATGAATTAATTAATCATCCAATAATCCTTTTCTTCAACTCAGTTTTAATGTAACCAAAATAAACTATCATGGTGCTTTTATTGATCATAGACATCTTTTATTTCCTCGAATTGACACTTTGTTTTCCTGTTAAAAGCATCCAGTGGATGGTTCAAATGTCTGAACCATAACACACACACAAACACAAACACAAACACACACACACACACACACACACACACTCTCACTCACTCACTCACTCACACACTACACAGCATATACATAGAAAGCATACTGTATGCCACTCTGTGGCTTTAAATGAAGCTGTGCAGCATCACGTTGATATCAGTATAATTTAATGGCCCTGCAAACCCACACAGGGGTTTTCAATCTGGTTGTAGGTGGGCGGAGCCAATGCTGGACATCACATCATGCCACCAGACTCGAGAGAGAGAGAGAGAGAGATGTCAGTCAAGCACAGACTGTACATGCCCACGCAGTGCAGAGAAGAGCAGCCAAACCACAGACATTTAATGTAAAACGATTAGTGGACATACGATGCTAATGTGTCCCAATGAACTACTACAAATAAATATATACATGAATAAGTCAGAGAGGGCATCGCTTCAGAGGATACGGCCACAGGAGTTAATCAAAACTTGGCTGGTCGATGTCTGGGGGCACCGTGCAGCGAGTCAGGTTGGACAGGTACAGAGCAGTAGCCATGGGAACAAGGCCAGCCGCCACCTTCAGGATGGTCAGCAGTCTCTCTGTAGCATTGGCCACACCATCTGGTGTCTGGAGGGGAAGAACATGACACAAGACTGCTTTTAAAGAAACAGAAAAACACACTTAAGAGACACACTGGATGGTCTATTATCAACAACAGCACAGGGACCCCAAACTGCACACACACAATCACACTACATAATCCACAGGCAGGTAGTTTCTACCGAGTTAAATCTAAGACTTTTTAAAACCAGAGAGAGAATACAATTTAATACCTTCTGGTCGGTTTCATGATTATATCGGCAACAATGTGAAAGTATGATGGAAAACTAGTATGGACAATATGACCTAATAACATATTGTTTTCAGTACATCCCATCAGTAAATAACAACAACTACTAATGACATAATTAGAGATGAATGTAATAGTGTATAATGTCCGCTGACAGTCTGAAATCACAGTTATATTACACCTAAAAGGGTTACAACAATCAGTCGATTGAAAAAAAAAATAACCTGCAACTATTCTGATGAGCAAATCATAATTTTTTAATTATTTTAAGCAAAAACTAAAGAAAAAAAGCCAAAAGTGGCTCCAAAGTGAGGATTTAATGTTTTTATTCCCTTTTTCTTCTCAAAACAAAACATTTGAGGACGTCAACGAGGGCTGTGGGAAATTGTAACAGACATTTTTCACTATTTTATAATAGTGTCTAATATCTAATATTACTGCTGATAGCGAGCAAGAGAAAATACTTTTTAATAGCTTAAATACTAAAATAAAGTGTTTATTTTCTGAGGAAAGTAACAGATTCAGTGATTTTTAAGACTAGTCTGTTCCCACTGTGGCAGCAGTAGCAAAAATCTACAGCTCGCCCTGATGCTACATTACCGTGCTCCACATAACTTTGTCTCTGAAATAATCTCTTTGGGGTTCAATCTTCCTCAAACTTTGTGCCACAAATTGATACAAACCTGATCCTCAGCAAACAGCAAGGGGCAGTGGAGCGATGCAGCCAGCTTTCTGACAGTGTCCAGGCGCTCTGTGGGGACCGAAGCGTTACGAGCTACAAGAGACAAATGCACGAGAGGGCAGCCAGTCAGAGAGACACACGGAACTATAAGTTGGTCATTTAACAACAATAAAGGGAGGGATGACGTATATTAAGAGTGAAAAATGGTCCATCTTAGACCCTTCTGCTCCATTTCATCCCCTTTGCTCCTGTTTTTCCCTTTGTTCATGTGATTCAAGGAGCTGAGGAGAGAAAACAAGTCTTAAAGAATTTAACTCATACCGTTAGTGACCATGAAACAGACTTTTCCAAGGAAATATCCAGGGTCCAAATATTTCAGGGAAGCTTCTGCTGACTGGAAACTATGAGGAAACAGAATGATACACATAATGAACTAGTATAGCATAAAACATGCAATACACAGACCAAACCAAACCTTATTTTAATACAGTTTAATATTAGTATATAGAAAGTACTAGTACACGAGCCTGTGGGTGGGTTTTTAAAGTGTTGGCATTAATTAATTGTATTTTTAAAAATTGTATTCTTTCTTGTTATCAAATTATTAATGCTTTGGCAGTAATTGTTTCTAACATTCATGCCATTGAGAGCATTTTAAACTGAAAAAGGAAAAAGAAAACACACTTTTATTTAACAACTTGAGTAATTAAGATGCACTGGATCGTTCTAATTTACAAACCAGTGGATATTAGGCTACTGAGTTCAAATTTCTCTAATAATTCAATAACAGATGGGCCAACTTTTACACCTATTTATTTAAGAGAAAGAAAATACCATCAAGTAGATTCACTGACTTTCATTCAGACCAACTAAAACTTTAACACTGAGCAGATATTGTATCTCTGTGTGTGTGTGTGTGTGTGTGTGTGTGTGTGTGTGTGTGTGTGTGTGTGTGTGTGTGATTAGGAAAGGATTAAAATATGAATATATGTAAGGATTTGAAAGTTACCTGAGTTCTGAGGTCAGGTTGATGATAAACACCACCAGGTCTATTCTTGGACGACCCTCCTCGTTCTTCATGGGCAGAGGCAGACTCTTAGCTAGTCTCCTGATTGGTACAACAAACAGTGTTCATAAAGTCATATGGGATGGATGGTACAGAAGGAAAAGACTCCAGACGATCGTATAAGGCTTATAAATACTGTGCACTGACAATAAAATATTATATATGTATTATTAAGCACTAAATCGGATATTGGAGCCTTCAGAAAAAGTCTCAGTTTAATTATGACTTAGTTGACATTATTTACGAGTCGGTAACAGTCGATAACTCTGGTATACAACGAACGCTGCAGTCTTGTGCTGAACCCTCATTTTTTCCCCCAAAGTATGCAACATATCCTCCTGAGGATTATACAGTAGATATAAACAATACAAAGGCAGTACAGAGACTGATAAATGGTGAGTTAGCAAATAAATGGGTGCAGTTGTATTGGTTAAAGAGATATATAAAATGAATCATATAAAAAAAAGTCTAGGTGCAGTAACAGAATAGTGGCTGGTGCCTCCTGACAGTTTCCTATTAGCAGACAGTTGACTTCAGCAGTTTAACAGGACGGAGCCGTACTCACACATTCACAGTGACAGCGGTCTCCTCCACCAGAGCGTCTGCTAAACTCTGCTGAAACTGCTCCTCATTCTCCACCAGCTGGAGGAAAAACACTGCACGTCAGCACAAAACCTGATGATAACACTTTGCACTATAACACTCCACCAAAAACTACATCTAAAAAGGTGTGTTTTAGAAACTTAACCATGAGGTGGAAGGTAACACAGGAGCTTAAAGTTACTTTTAAAATCATTTTTGACTTCATCTGACAACATTTTTTAAATATAATGTATTGGTATAAACATGAAAGTTGTATCATTATAAAGTAGAATTATTTAGTATTATTTTTCTGAATTAATGAGATCATTATCTCAGAATTCTGGGAAAAGTTTTCATTAAAAAAAATATCCTGGTCTGTTTTTCTGAATTAACGAGATACCTCCCTGAGGCTCTCCAGTGTTAGTGTCAGACAGAGGGCCGGGGGCATGAACATCTGGTGGGTGCAGGGTGTAAAAGGGGGTCAACAGGTTTAGCTGGTGGGTGAGGTTGTTTTTTAGGGCTAGAGAGCCAGTGTTAGGGGCTTTGGGTCGGGCTTATATCGCTGCCTGGGCCCGGTGGAACAGGCTGGAGGCTGGTTGTGGTTTAGGCTCAGGGGTGCTGAGAGCTGGCCCTGAGCTGGAGGTATCTTCTTCATTCAAAACAACAAGAGCAGATTTTTATTTTTTTCATGAAAACTTTTCTCTGAATTCTGAGAAAATAATCTTGTTAATTCAGAAAAAGGCAAAAGTTAATGAAGGTATTACACTTCAGTACTATTGTAATCACCACAGTGCTGATACAGTATAGTCTCAGTACACTTTGGAGTCTGGGACACATTTCTTCCTGTGGTCCGTTATAACTTTAACTGCATGTCACATACATTTACATGGTCCAAACACATTTCTGGTCAGTTTTATATAAGTTTTTTGAAACAACTTTTAAATGCAAGAAACTGGTTTTCTTTAAAGTACGTCATATTATCAGGGTAGTGGACCCCAACCTTTTCACCATCGGACCCTCTGAATAAAATAAATATCTATGTGAAACGTCCCCATCAGTGAATTGTGAGCAGTACACCAAAGAGTTTGTTTTAGAGAGTCCTGAATAGGTTAAATTATCTGGTATTTCACAATAAAAGAACATGTAAGATAAAAGAAAAAGCATGTAATCGTATGTAGCCAAACAATATTCTTATCATTATTATTTTTATTGCATAAATCATCTACCCATCCAGATTTATCCTGCAAATCCTTGGAGGGGCCCTGAGCCCCAGGTTGGGAACCACTGAATTTAGGATCAGGTGAAACTTTGAGCTGCTATGTCAGGGTGAACGTCATGTGATATTAAACCCGTATTAGGGTTTGGGGGGCTTCCTTTAAAAATGTAATCTGATACAATTACTAATTACCTGTTAAAAATGTAGTAAGTAATCGAAGTATCACAATATTTAAGTAATTTTAGGATCACCTCATCACCAAATATGTAAATAAAAACAAGAGAAAAGAAATGTCAATAAGCAGTATTGATACAAGTTATTGTATAAGAAAACAAAATGGAAACCAACAATGTGTCCTCTGCTCAGTGTATTTTAAAACTGAAATCCTGCTAAATTATCCCCATTTTTACTAAATGTAACTGTAATCCGAAACGTAGTTTCTGTAGCTGTAATGGATTACAGATATTACATATCTCAGTTAGATGTAATCCGTTACTCCCCAAGCCTGACCCGAGTATATATATCATTATGTCAGATACAATTGTAAAATAATATAATATATATAAAGTAGGTCTTTATGTGGGGTTACGTGTATCAGGTAAAGTATCAAGAGCAGCCAACCAGGTAATGTTAGCAGTAGATGAGCATTATGAGCTGATAACTTTATTCATCCTGAGAGCAGCTCAAACAGTCCAGCTCTGTTACCAACGTTACCACCCCCCCCTACACACACACACACATATATATTAACGTTATATACACGAGCCCTGACTAACGTTAACTAACGTTAACTAACTGTCGCCGTCGTTAAAAGCTAATGAAACACAAACTCACCAGGATGCTCGCCGTGTTCAAACCAGGAAGTCTACTAAACGGCTTCAACAACGACATCCTCGTCCAATTAACGTTAGTAAATAAATCCAATCTAATCTCAATCCTGTCAATACCCTCTGGTCCGGTTTCAGTCTCGCGCTTCTTTTCAGAACGTGCGTCTGACGTCATAAGCAGACACTGACGTCATGACGTTACCCGTACATACGCTGTTGTTTTCTGCCACCTAGAGGCCGCTGGGTGCCTCGCTGTTCACCCCTCATTATCTCACCAGTAGATTGTACATGAGGAGCAAAATGCTGTAATGCAGGACCTGAATGCAGCTCGTTTTACCCCTCGAGTAGATCTTTATGTTTTTCTAAAATAATGTAATTTGTGTGATATATGCTAGTACCAAAATGCCAAAAAATATAAAAGTAAACTTAAAAAATATATATTTTATGTTTTCAGCACATTGCAAGAACATTTTTAGTAAAATGTGTCCTATATGTGTATGAATATCTATGCATGTGTTTGTCAATAAAGCTAAAAGGAAGGGGAACGCAGTTTTCATTTCATAAGATGAATTTAACCAAACTGTATGCATACATAAAAGGTGAAGTTAAAGAGAACTCTATATAAACACATTGTATTTGAATGGAAGCAGACAATTTTATTCACTTAATGGTGGAACAGCAAAGTAGACACCCCCAGTACATCCAGGTTGTATCACAGCAAACGGGACACTAGTGCCTGGGCCTTTTGAGTGTCAAGATCATCTATATGCTTTCACATGTCAGGAACTGAGTGGAAATACTTCTTTGATGACTTCTTTCTGGGGGGACAAGTGAGTTTTTTTTCAAATCAATGCATTTTGAATTAAGGGCAGACTCGGGGATGCGTGTCAGATTTTCCAAATGAGATTGTTATGGCTTGAAGGCAGCAAATAAAACACAAACATCAGAAGTGCCTTCAGTCATTCACAGCTCATTTCAAACATTACCGCAACGGCTATGCCACATTAAGGAGTCTAACCCATGTAAAAGAATCCACAGTGACTGAAACTGATAGATTCACAATTGAACAGGAAAAACAGTATTAACATTTAAGGTCCAACTAATGATTAAAAAAAAAAAAAGCACTTCATGTGAGCAAAATAAAAAACAGACTCAAGTAAGGCTGCTGTCTTTCACTCACTCATCCCTCATCACTGTCAAAATAACTGTACATAAGATCAACAAGATGGCATAAAAAATGACTATACTGCTTCCAGCTCACACTAGCATCACAATTCAGAGTCTTATAAAAGTTGTTTTTCATGTTTCCTTGACCGCCACCACTGAAGTTGTTCCCTCATCCCCAAGTTAAGTTTTCCGCCGTCCGGCCTGCTAGTGTACATGTCCCACTTTTAATATGAACACACATACAAAGCAGACACACACGCTCGCACAAACACACACCCTTCTCTCCATGCTCCTTTTACTAAACAATATATCCAAATCAAAGACTTTGGAGGCGTCCCCTCCTGTTCATATCTCCCCGGACTCTCGCTCCTCGGAGCTTGAACGTCGGTCCCGCTCATACGACAGGGATCTCTCTCGTTCCCTCCCCCTGGCTGTGTCCGCAGAGCGGGACCTCTCTCTGTTCTCCCAGTCTTTGTACTCCGTCCTCTCTTCACGCCATCCCTCTCCTCCTGCACCCTCTGCTCCCTCTGCTCCCTCTGCACATTTCTCCTGGGACCCCGAGCGCTCTTTTTCACGGGTGTGAGATGATCTGTCTCTGGAGGACCTGAGGAAAGGAAAAAAAAAAAAAAAAAAAAAAAAAAAAAAAACACAGCTACTTTTTATATACTTTTGATATGGGGATGGAAAACTAACAGTTATTGTTCACATGGAGAAAGATGGATCCTAGGTCGGACTAGCCGGGGTTGTAATGAGGGAAAGTTAAACTTCATAGTGTCAGCTGGATACATTTTCAGCACAACAAAGATAAGGAGTTCATGATAGTGTCCGTATTCAATCACATTGTATAACGTTATAATACTATATAGATTTCATTCTTGGGTGATAATCAGTAGTTATCATGTTAAAACTATAACAACTAAGACAACAGGGTGAAATTGTTTAATTAATCAATAATTTAAATAGCTGTTGATTACTATTACTATATTACTATCCTGTTGATCGACCAACCAATTAAGCGATTATTTTAGCAATAAATTCATTTATAAGCACCGGACAACAGTCCTTCTTGAAGCCGATTCCATTTTGCCAAGTCAACAAATTGACTTTGCCTACAATCACTTGGTTCATGTGCTCTCAATGTGAGGTAAGAATGTAACAGCTGATATCTTATCACTGGCGACATGATGTGAATTGTGTGTTAGTTAAACTCTAAGACCATTAATCTTATCCTAATGATGCTTTGTACTTTCAGTGGTGGATAGAAGCCACACCTCTTCCTTTTGCGCCTGTGAGAGTGGGAGCGTGAGCGATGCCTCTCCTTGTGTCGATGCTTCCTCTCTCGCTCACGATCCCGTTCGCCACCTTCTTCTCTGGAACGAGAGGAGTGATGGCGTCTTGAGCGATGGGAGGACGAACTGCCTCCATCCCTACCAATATTTGTAGATAAGAAAAAGATTTTAATGTTTAAGAAGAAAAAAAAATCTCTATTTCTTTTTTTGAAATATCAACACTGCACCATTATTTGTGTTTATATTTTGTGCTTCTAAAACTACATGACATAATGAAAGACTGTATTCTGAATAAAATCACATCATGGAACACAACTAGTCTAACAACTGACACTCACCCCAAACGCCTGAAAAACCAGTACATGCCAAACATTTAACGTCTGAGAAGTATATACCCTTGATTTCAGTTAAATTCTAAGTCACTCCATTACAAAGACAAACACAACATTTATCAAATGATTCTGGTCAAAGCAGACGTACCTGTATCGGTCTGCACTTCTAGATCTTGATCTAAAACAGATGAACACAAATCAGACAGTTTCCGTTTCCAGATGACACTGAACTTTTTCTTCGTACACAGTAACAGTAGAAGTCAGACTGTTTCTTACCTCCTACGCTCCCTCTCTCTTTCTCGTTCTCTCTCCCATTCTCGCTCTCGTTCCCGCTCTCTTTCTCGTTCCCGCTCCACCTCCCACTGTCGCTCTCTTTCATCTTCTTTTTCACGCTCCTCTCGTCTTCTCATTCGCATTCTTTCTTGTTTCTCTATAACGGCTTTCTGGATGAAACAGAAATAGCACAAACGTGAGAAATATAAGCAGCAGATTATGTGCTGTGTTCAGTACAACACAAACATAACTGAAATTTCAACTAAATTGATTTTACTGATCAGTAATCGTGCAAATACCAGTGCACCCCTTACCCTTAGCTTTTCAAGCTTCTCGCGGATTTCAATGAAACCGAGGTGCAGTTTGCCCCCAAAGTGGTCAGCCAGACGGCGATCGTTGTCGTGAAGACCCAAGTAGGCAGAGCACACCTCGCACACTCGTAGTTTTTGTTGTTGAAAGCTGGAGGCTGGCATCGAGTTTCGGTACACATCCTGTAAGAACAACGGTTATTATGAGACTGTGAAGCTGGGGCAGATTAATTAAAGATACAATACACCATGAAAAACAAAAGACTCAAAATGGTGTTTCATCATGCCTGCATGATAGAGTGTAAGCAATGTTGGGAAATATGACCCCTAGTCACCAAGTCTTTGTTGAAGTTACATGACATACATACAATTAGTTCAACGTTTTCTCTCCCTGATTTCTGCCATTATACATTTTGAGAAGAGATTGTGCATTCAGCTGCCCTTGGTTACCGTTACGTCACAGAATGAGTCACTGATGAAAATCCTTACTAATCTCATTAGAAAAACTTCACAGACAGAAACTAATATTTCAGGTCTAGTTGGTGAGTGGTAAGTACAAATATTGATCTATTCTGACACAAAAACCTAATCACAACAAAGCAGTTAAATTAAGTTCTGACCTCTGCTTCTTTCTTCAAGGCCCGGGTCTTCTCCACCATTTCCAGCAGCTGCTGGGCTTCGTCTACATTGCCCTCGCCCCCGAGCTGCTCTGCCCGGGCCAGCAGCTTCCCGATCTCTTCGTTTAGCTCGTGGACACGTTCAGCCTTGTGACAGCAGCAAACAGAGACACAAGAAATTAGACCACTTTGTACAGATTCTTGATAACCAGTTGGAGTGAACAGTATTAAGACCTGATAATAATCTCACTAGCAATGTCAACAGTGAGTTTAGTCACCTTTGCAGCCACTTCAGCGCTGATCTCATCCTGCGTCTCAGCTAGCCTTTTCTTGGCTAGCTCGGTCCTGCGGTCGCAGTCAGCGATGAAGGACTGAAGGTGTTCAGCAGCCTGCGAGAAAACAGATGGGTTTTTGTGTGTGTATGAAATATGCACCATCATCTCTGGTAGAAAAACAATGTTTACAATGTTAATCTCAACTAAGTTTATCTTAAAACTTCTTTTCCCTAAATAAAATTATCCACATTTCTCTTTTCTGTATTTTATAGACTTTTATTGTGTAATTTATTGCTAGGATTAGATGTACATGTGCAATCTCTGCCCACTCTTTCACCTGGCTCTCAATCATCCTTAAATTTAGACGTCCACTTTCTTATGCAGTCACAATTTAACAGCACCACTTAGACCAAACTGATATTTTTGGAAATAAGAATGGCACGAGTAAAAAGACAGAGTATGCACCACGTATAAATTAGACCCCATGTCTCAGCAAGTCTGGGCCATCACTGCGTCTTCTCATCTTCTGCAACCATCACATCATCCGGTGAACCGTGTAGGGGATGACAACCATCCTACTTTCTTCTGGATGGTTGTCATCTCATTGACACTTTTACATAGTCTGAATTAATTTACCGTCATCCAACCTGCTAATCCTTGGTGTAACATGAAAGCAGCCATGTCAGTCTGGATAACTGTAAACTGTGTGACAGATGGTGTAGATACATTAAAGTTATTTGTGAGATTTAGGGTAGTAATGATTGATTTATAATTCAGATTAATTGTAGATTAACAGGCAATCTCCAAAATGAGGATGTGCAGTTTAAGTCAGGATTTGTAATACTCGGTTTAGCAGGTACTAAGACCAAAAATAGCAACAACAAGGTGCTGCGTTGGTGTTGCTAGAAGTAT